CAGGCGTCGCGCACGCGCCTCGCCGATAACCCCGGCTCCGGCGCCAGCGTTGCCGACCGCGCTAACTACTGACTGCGGCTGTAGCAAAAAATCTTTAATTTATCATCGTTTTTGTTATTAGTTTGATCCTAATCAGAAGTCTTACAATGGTCAGAGGTTACGTGTGTCTCCACTATTGCTATGTGAAGAATTTTAAACATAAACTAATTATTGCCTCTGTAAACTTTGTACTTTACAAAAATAGTTAAGGTTTACTACTTGAACTGGTTAGAGGTAAAAAAATATTAACTGATACGACCAATAGAATGTGAAAAATGGACATTCCTTACACAGCTCGTTAAGTATAATAAGTAAGTACCTACGTACCTACCTAGTTACCTGCCTCCTTTGTGCCTAGGAACCAACTACCGACCTAAAACTCACGAATATTATTTCAGCTTCTACATTTCGATATGAGTGAATCTAGTTGTAATCACTAACGGTGCTGATGACATTTTGTAACACAGTTAAAACATTGTAATTTTAATGTCAACAACTCAATAATTAACAAGTAATTTCTTGGTACCTAGTTCCCCACTGCACTGTAGCTACATCACCTACAATTACACTATCATATTATGTAGATGCGCATGTGTCTTCTGACGAAAGTGGCGTGTGTAGTAAATTATCTTATAGTAATAAGTAAGCAGTAGTAGGTACATTGTAATCAGGAGATGTAATATTTTACGAGTTTAATGTTGCACATGGCTACAAACGAGTAGATAGGTAGCTACGTAGTAACGTAGTGCAGGCGGCTATTCAAAGATATGACGCTTCTGTAGATTGTAGTCACTTTACTCATTTGAAAAACGTACTATGTACAACCTCTAATGTGATGACCACGATCACCCAAAGTGGTACCGACAACCATATTGGCATGAACTTGTAAGTAATGTTGCTATGTGCCCAACGAAATGTAAAACCCCCGAATATTAATTACCTATTTGAACAACTGCCAATTAAATAAACGTATTTTTTCATAAAATTATTGACGTTGGATTAACATCTCTATATTCAATATCTTCTATATCTATACTTATAATAAATCTATAGAGAGGTCAATTCTGTAGGTACATGAAATATATTTCCAAAATAACTATCAGGGGGAGATCAGGGATCGATACTGATACCAAAAATGTAATCAGTAAACATTTTTGTCTGTCTGTATGTTCACGCATTACGCAAAAACTATCCGTCCAATTGCGATGAAACTTGGTATAATTGTACTTTAATATCCTGGGCATTACATTGGGTACTTTTTATCCCGAAAAAGTACTTATACACTAAAACAAATTTAATTATGCGGCTCGATCCCTGGACACGATTCCTACAACGCAAATAAAAGTTTGTCACCTGTTGGGTTACCTGCAATGGACATTACGCTGTAGTGGTAGGGCCGAAAGGCAAGGTATTGAATCGCTATTATAAATGTAAAAATTTGTTAGTTTGTGTGTTTGTTTGTTACTCAATCACGTTACAACGGCTGAAGGGACCGGGATGAAATTTAAAAAAGAGGTAGATTATGGTCTGGAATAACACATAGGCTACTTTTCACCCCTGGGAATATGGGCAAAACCGGTGGCAGAAGCTAGTATTACCTATTAACGTAAAGTAAGGTACCTGGGTAAGTACACAAGATTGTTATAGTACCTATACTCTAGATAAATGCAGCTAGTTGCTCCACATCCCTACCGGTTATTACCAGTCAATGATACTACTTAGTGATCGTAATGCATTGATGCATTAACTATGTAAATAAGTTATCTCTAGCATTATAGATAGGTACCTACTTAATTTAGACTACTATGAAGTCATAGACATAACAATGTTATTGTGAATAGTTCTGTAGGTAAGTAGGTGATACGCATTTAGACTTTGGAGTAGGCACTTAGAAAATTTATACAAGCTTTGAGTTTGCTTCGGTGATTCATCCATTCAGGCATTTTCCATTCGACCTTATTCAAATGATTAAAAATCAGGTACTAGTAAAACACTTCTGAAAAGGACGTTTTTTTAACCTGTTTTTGCAAAAAAAAAGAACAGAAGAGAAATCGTAAATGAAATTAAAGATATTTAATCCACTATAGGTATAAACCATTATAAACAAATAAACTAGTAAATAGTAAGTAAGCTCAATGTCAACAAGATATGTTGACAAAGTCACACACGCTCCGGCTCGTCTGTGAACAATCGAGAAAATGCATTCTGGAATCATCTGGACGTAGCTCTGGGCCTCTGGCTCTTATCGCGGCGACATGGTGTAAACAACTCGACTATTTATAAAGTCCTGCAAATAACTTGACCACTTTGTGACCCACCGCGCCTATCGGAACTTTTGAAAGCCTAACTCTAGGTCGTATTACCACCCACAATGCTACTCTATTGTAATGAAATAGATTTATTATTATTTGTACCTATTTCTGTGAAAGACACTTTATCTATATTCCTTGGGGAGTGTAGAAGAGCACTAAGAGAGAAGTAAAGAAAGAAAATAAAACTTAATTTCACACGCTAAAACAACAAGTGACCTTATTACAGATGTGTAATTCTATTGGTAGGTAGGTACTGATGGATACATGTTCATGTCCCAAGTCAGGGGCGAAATGGGGCCAGTTCAGCATGTGCAAGACAGGGCCTTGCGCTGGTATTCAACTAAACCCCTTAAGTGACTTGCGGACGAACAAGCCACCGAATAGACATCAGCAATTTAGATTTAAATTTATAGAGAAGATTTCCCTAAGTTGGTTCTATATAAAAAGTATAACAAGTGAGTAAGTAAAACAAACAGACTTCTTTGTTAAGTTAGGCCCTGTAGTAATAAAGCGACTGCAGCGCCATACAAACAGCTTTTGGTACATAAATCATTTAAAATACAAAGTTAAAATGCTATCTTATCGTAAATATGGCTAAATAAATAAATTATTACATGCTGCTATAGACAGAGGGCACGCCGCAAAGCAAATTATTTTAATTATAGTCACTAATTGATTGAACTTGGTCCGAGTAGATGATGAAACTCCATTCTGTTGTTACAAGTCTTACAAGTGGGCAATGCTTCCGATGAATGAGTTATAACACGGTGATTTTGCATCGCTTGGATGACGAAATAGATATTCCAAGTGATATATAAAAAACAAAACAAAAATCGTCACACACATTTTTAATGATCCTCAAAAATGCAAAATTAGGGTAACTTTAATACAGTTTTCATGATTTCAAATCACCTAACTTATATCTTACATAGGTAGGTACATAGAAACGTGCCAGTTATTCCCCAAAGATGTATCTTCTTCTACTTCTATTACTATTGCTCTCTGTATATCTACGTACTAGGTATATACACTTTTCTCTATTGTGCCCCATGCGGATGAGCTGATTGCTAGATATTGGACACAATTTTTGAAGTATGATTAACAGAGAACTTTGCAGCAGAACAATAAGAGCCTAAATAGGTACACTGCCAGAATAAATAATACCTACTTTCTTGCCTAATCGAAGCAGAGACCTCGAGCTTGGGCAATGGCTATATAATGATCACTCGTTCAACAAGGCAAAGTTATCCTACAATGCATTTGATTATAGTAAGGTAGAAATACAACTTCTGCGAAAAAGATAATACGGGAAATACGTACATTTTTTCATTAACAAAAATGTTTTTTACAAAATAATTACTGATTAAAACGAGATCGTATGAAATCTTGGAACAGGGAAATCTTCAGTCGACTGAGACCTCATTAAAAATTAGAAAAAATAAATATCACGATAAGGGGTCATTTACTTTACAGTTTGTATAGAGTTTAATGTACAGGCCATACGTTTTAAGGTCACTTTAATATTAAAAGAGAGTAAGAGCGGAACAGATAGATATCCACCGTATGAACGGGTAAAGTAAGAAAGAGAAGGTAACATTGTAAATATACATGACCAGTGGATGGCAGACTTATGCTAGATAGAGCAGCGAAGGATTATATGGCCGGCCGCACGTAGCACGTAGCAGGCCAATTAATTTGTCATATTTATTTCAATTTTATTTTGGATATTGCCTATAAGTAAGGAATAACGTTACTCTAGTACTAGTGAAATCTAACTGTGGAACTTTTGGTATAATATTTATTTCATTAAGACAATAATGGCCATTGTACAAACGTATCAAGTATTTTTTCTTTCGAAAAATCTGTGTATTTTTGTCTATTTACGTGGGATATATTTTGTATTTAATTTTGTCTTGAAAATTATTTCTTTTCTTAACCCCATTCTTTATGTACTTGTGCCGCTCTATAGAAAGCGCACGCCATACATACATGTGGTCACGTAATTTTAATATGAATTTATATATTGTAAACATATTTTTATAATTTGCCTGTTACCAAGTTATTAATTACATATAAAAACAAAAAAAAATTAAGACAAATTTGTTATTTTACAGATATTGTTATCTGCATACATGATAAAGCATTAATTTTGTTCACAGACAGACAAAACAGGAATAGGTGCCAGTTGCCAAGAGATAAATGGGCTTAAGTTCTTCGAAAAACAATTTTAATTTTAGCAACATGAGCGAAAATAACTGTATTATCAAATCTTGCGTAATTATGTGTATTTGTTCAGTACAAATGATACATGATCATAGTTCGTGCTCTTTGTATAGCAGTGAGTACCAAGAAAAATACTATTTAAAAATAATCAATCATAATAATAAAAGATTAATTATTTTATACAAAAATAATTTAGTATCTTAACAACCACTTAATACAGTGAGACTATTGGATTACAACATAACTATGAATCTAATATAACAAATCATAACTTGATCTTATGCAATTTCCATTCGTCCATGCACCTGAATACTAAACTAAGACGAAAATAATATAAGAAAACTACCTAATAGAACAACTAATATTTATTGAACTAAAAATAATATTAAATATATTACAAGTACCGGGAACATTACATTTTATCTATCATTCATTAAAATTATTGATATTTAATTCAGTTCCTTCATTAGAACATAAACTGTCACAGAGGTTATCGAAAGTATCACTTTTACAAAGAACACTTAAGGATTTAAGATAGTGACAGAAGCGATTGTTTCTTTTCATGTTGGTGTCATTCTTTGACTTCTCAAGCCTGCAAATAGTTCGGCAGGAAGACCAATAGTCCAACGCAAGGGCCCGCCTGTCCAACACTGCTGACGCGTTCAAGTAGCTCGTTAAACTGTTGTGTCTCGATACCACTCGGTCTTTTTGTCTGTAATCGAAGATAAAATTTATTAATATAATAACATAACAACACGCGTTTTTTGTCCCTTAAGGGGAAGGCAGAGGTGCACATTACGGCACTCAATGCCACTGTACAATGTAACATCCACTTTTCACTATTTATGTTATGAGCCCCATGTAATAGGGGGTGAGCCTATCGCCATAAACCGGGCACAATTCCAGACACTGTGCTACTACTGAGATTTTTTTTAAAACCCAGTAATATTTTTTCCGACCCGGGAATCAAACCCGATACTCCTTGCCCGGCAGTCGCACTTGCGACCACTAGGCCAACGAGGCAGTAATAATACATCTCGAAGGCCATTTAATCTTATTACTTTATTATATAAAGCTGAAGAATTTGTTTGTTTGTTTGAATAGTTCATTTATCAATGAAGGTTATAGGCTATAAAACATCACGTTATGATCTTAAGGAGCCGAGCAGAGCGAGTGAAACCGCGCGGCAGTGGTAATAAAGTACTAACGTATGAAAGAAAATAGATAATAATACCCCCATCTAACAAGCTGGGGGACCTGTCGAAATCTGATTTGTAAAATTGAGAATACCAATGTCCGTCTCAGGAATTGGACCCGAGACCAGCTCACGTGTCCGATACAGGCACTTGAAATATTACAATTATATAACAACCTGTTTCATAAGATATTTTTCATGTCAAATACGTAAAATCCTAAGATGACATTGATATAATCTTGACCCTTGGATAACAAAAGTACTGTTTGCTAGTTATTTAGTTACAAACTTTCTTAATTAGGTATGTTCTTCACTGGTAGTTAGTACATTTTAAGTTTTCAAATTAATGTTACCTACAATAATAAGTAGCAAAACATGCGTAAGATTTGTGATTATTTAACATCCGTGTGTATAAATACCATACCCAAAGTTTATTCTTATAACTCACGTACCAACTATAGATACCGATAATTATCTTGTTATTTTTAGCAAATTAGTCACAACGAAAAGTGGGTGTTACATTGTACAGTGGCATTAAGTGCCGTAATGTGCACTTCTGCCTACCCCTTCGGGGATAAAAGGCGTGATATTATGTCATGTTTTATGTGAAAATACAAAAACTAATTCACCATTAAATTATAGATTGGAGAAGATAACCAGATTATTTCAAACTATACTTTTTTTTTTTTTTTTTAATCTTTATTTAATTTTCAGGGTTTTTTCTGTAAAGAAAATGACACCCCGATGATTGTATACAATAGATACTAAACACTAAATAGTTTTTACAACTAACAAAACATAATAATAGGAAAGATCTAACCTACCCGCCACCTTAAGCCTATAATTATAATATTAAACAAAGTTCTAGCTTCATCCGACACAAACTATACTTTATGCTTTTATAAACAAAATAACGTTATCATGTAATTATAATTATTATTTTATGTTAGAAAAACGATGTTTGTTTGTAATGTTTAGATCAAAGCACTTCTGAAACCACATAGAAGAGTGAATTATTATTACAGAGGTGATTCCATTAACTTATTCATCTGAAAAACTCACCACTTGTTTACCAATTCGCAAAGGTCGCGTGATAATATATATTTATTTAAATATTTTTTGGTAGATACGAGAGGAACACGACAAAATAAACAAGTTTTAGTGAAAATACATTCCCAAAATAATGTAGGTATCCTATGATAATATTCTCTTGTAAGTGACTTTTTGTCTAAATGAGAATAAATGATTTAAACTTAATTTAATGAATTAACTCACCTGTTTAAAAGCATTCCTGGGAAACTAATGTTTGTTTTTCTATCACAGCTTAGAACATCTTGTGCTGTTGCGATAGAACCAGTCAAAATTGTATGACAAATATCATTCATAACTTCATGTTCCTTATGATAGTAGCCAGGATTCTCTCTTTCTGATACACTGTGACTCTCAGGGCAATACCAAGGTTGTGATGTAATGTTTCTGTCAGTGTCTGGATTGATGTGACTGTAATAATCAGACAACGAGAAAGCATCTGCAGCATTTGCTATTGCTTCCAGTTCCAGGCTAGCCTTCTTCTTATGACTAATATTGCATTTTTGTGAAGGGAGATCAGTAGGCGAAGTTGTTAAAAGGGATGGCATACTCCACCACATGTTAAATACTTGTACTGGATATGTTAGATTCATTAAATTCGAATATTTAGAAGCAAAAGCGGTCCAAATAGTATTTATATCCACATCACATGCTGCAGTTGTTCTTCCTTCTGTATCATCATTATCTGCCCAAGATATACAGGAGCTTTCTTCATCAATGTGATTCTTATAAAAATCAACATTTTGTGAAGCAGCTTCTTCCTCCAAAGCAACACTTTGTACTTTAGGTAAACAGAACTGCAGGTAGTTGATGGTTTTTCTTATATCTCCTTTAAAATAGTTCAAGAATTTGGCTCCAACACCAGGCCAACACATTCCACTATCTGCTAGGCACATGATATCTAACCATGTTCCAAGAATTCTAGGCAGAAGAGGGCTCATTTTTAATATTTTTGCGTTTTGTACAAACCTTTGCAAATGTGGACAAACTAATGATGATGTAATTAATATTACAGGTCTTTTTGAGCAGTGTACTAACTGTACTATGGCTGAAGTAAAACCATCATCTTGATCAAATACTATATCTGCATCATCAATGAGTATAAGTGATGAATCTGTCCTAGTACTCTCCTGGCTTAGTGTAGTGCCACTTAGAACTTCATTCTTTACAACTGATGCTTTACTTTTCTCTTCTTCAATGGCCTTCTTTGGTCTACCTCGCTTCTTGGTCTGTTTTGGAATAACTGTTTGTTTTTCTTGTGACTTCTGACTATTGTCTGAATTTCCTGTCCCTCTGTTAACCTTATGTGATTGAGTTGCTTCCTGTAAATCTTGTAACATGATTTTTCCCGTCCTTCTACTGCTAGCATTAACTTCAATAACCTTCATGGCTAAATCTGCTGCAACAGCATAAACACTTGCGGTTTTACCACACCCTGTAGGACCAACAAGTATCAAAAGGTTATTTGTAGACTTCATACTGTCTCTACTATCAGGTTCAGACTCATAATAGTCCGAGCTATCTGAGTTGGCCTTACTTTTAGCCTTTGATTTAACTTGATTTTCTGTCCATGATACCAACCACTTCCTTAATTCTTTTAAAGTCTCAAAATTGCCTATAATTTGTTTGGGAGTTACAGCTTTGTACTTGTCAGTCCAATTTAATCTGTCGGGACTGTCATTTATAACATCTACCATATCACCCAAAACTTCAATACTGTTATCTACATCTACATAACTACAGTCTTTAAATTCTCCCTTTCCTTTACTTCTTAAATACCGATATGTCCTGTATACCGGGAACTTTGGGTGTAACTTCTTTATACTCTGTAACATTGCCTGTGTGCTCTTTTTGCTTGTAGTGTCTACACTCTGGCAACAGAGGTCCTGATTAAGATTTAACAATTTTTGCATTTTATTATTTTCATAAGATAATATATAGTCTTCTTGAGTTTCAGTAATCATTAATGGTATATGGACAAGTTGATTATTTTCAACTATTGCAGTACTTTGTTGAACATGAACAACTACAGGAAAGCTATTATCTGGAATGGAGCAAACTTTTTGTTGTTGCATTTGCTTTTTCAATTTGTCTGGGACTCCACTTTGTAGAAATTTTTGTTTAGCTTCTAAAGCAGCGGGATCAGTTTGTTTAGATGTAAATATGGGAGCCAGTTTGGTAGGTTTCTTACATGTTACATCTTTCAGAACCTTCTCTATTTTCTTTTCTGCTTTAGGCTTCACAGGTTTGGGTTCATCTCGAGGATGGTCAGTCTTTGAACAAACTGCTTTTTTATCATTTTTACTTTCAATGTGCTTTTTCTTTTTTGGTGTGAAAATGTGCAAGTCTTCATCAGAGCTAGACAGACAAGCATCATCAACATATTTCACTGGTCTCTTAACCGACCTCTTCGGTCTGCTCTCACTGTTGCATGTGATGTTTGTATTCTCAGAATCAAGTTTTGTATCGAGTTTTGAATTTCTTTTCCGCTTCTGACTGTCATTCTTAACTTTAACACCGTCACTATTCACATTCAGGATCTTATTATCTGTTGTTAAGTCTGGAATATTAACACTAATACTAGCTAATGTTTTATCTTCTGATTTTTGTTGAGTTTTGATGGAGGATTCATGTACCTTGTGATCTGTTATTTTTTCTTTAGAGCTATTGTTCACAAGTATTTTGCTAACTTCTTCATTAATGTTCTCTTCTTGTTCTTTGATAGTTTCCGTTAAATCACATACTTCTAAACTGTCTTTTTTCAAGCTCAATTTCTTCTTCTTACTCTTTTTTTTACTTCTAGGTTGAAGTTTTACCTTTATAAGGTTATCGTTTTCTGAATTAGTGGGAGAACATTCAGTATCTTTATCTATTTTTTTAAAATAACAGAGCATACTTTCCTTTTTCTTTAAAGAAGGTGACAACTTATTCAGAAAATCTTCATCTTCCTTGGATATGCGTTTTTTTACTGGACTAATAATAGTATTCTCTTCAACTGAGTTGAATATATCAACAATCTTGAATGTATTTGGCTTGGTTTGTTTCTTTGTATTATTATTATCTGCAACTTTGGCTTTGTCTTCTAATGACAAATCAATTATTTCATCTTTTTTTAAGTTGCCATTAGAACTCTTATCTTCTTTGTCAGATTTAGTGTCTTTGAAAATCATACTTTTTAATCTTTTTGCTCTCTTTTCCAATTGCTCTTTAATAATATTGTCTTGAAATTCTTCAATTTCTTTATTTTTAATAGACCCCTTTGCTTCAGCCATTTTTTGAAGTAACAATTGCCTTTTAGCCTTCAAGTTCTTTCTTTCAATTACTTCGGTTGTATCAATGTTTTCATCACTTTTGTCTTTGCCTGGAGAATTACACCCAAGGCTCTTGTTTCTAGAATCCATTAACAGTTTGAATGCATTTGTTTGCTTTTTTTCCTGATTAGTAACAGCTGAAGGACTGTCTCTGGTCACATCATCTTGGACATCTACCTCAGTGTTGGAGTTTTTCAAGGTTTCACTTATCTTTACAGGCTTCCTTCTTACCATTTTGAAAAGGTAATTTTTAGGCCTCCAATCATCTAATTCTCTATCTTCATATAAATAGGGATCTTTTTGATTGTTTGGGGACCTGATAATTAGTGATGAAACGAGAATTTTCGACACATCTAATATATCTTGATCTTCTTGCCCATCTTGTCTAAGTTTATACTTTTTTAACTTCCGTTTAAGCACCTTATCACATCTGTGTCTAATGGTATTTTCCTTCGACTTGAGGACGTGTCTTCGTTGGCGATACTTGTGGCAATTTATTTCTTTTACTGAATTGATTTCGTCGACGACTGAGATGGACGCAGTTGCTACCAAACTTGTCATACCTTCGCTGAAAATGTAACAAAATCAGCATTACACTTTATACATGAATACAAAAGATCGACACTAATGATCAAATGAGGACACGCGTCTGTTATCACTAAAATAAGTGCAGTAAGTCGATAATATTAGGGTTTATACTATATTCAATAAACTTTGTTACATTATAAGTTTCCTTTGAGTTGATTTTTTCGATTTGTCGTTCGTTTTTTGACGAAATAATAATAAAAATTGTTATGAACACATACCCAAAGTCAATTTGGCGGCATTATTTTTACGTGATAATAGCAGTTGTCAAATTGTCAATGAGAGCCTAATGTCAAATTGACATTAAAGTTGACTGACTATAGAGACAACAAAAGTATGTTTCAGCTTCATTCTACAATTTGGTACATACCAAAGCGTTCCCGTTCTGCTCAGAGTATTGGTTAAACCATAGATATTATCATAATCTAATAGCCTAATATACAGAAGTCGGTGGTCTCGATAACAATAACGAAGAAAATCGATTTTATTGGTGAATTAGTGTACATAGGATTCCTTCACTTTTTCATCTTCATTATGAATAACAATGTTATCATGCTTATAAAATTATTATAGTTAGGTAGAATATCTTAATACAGCTGATAAGATGTGGGCAAACGTAGACGAGTGATAAACTTCGAAATATTATTAAAAATATACAGCACTACGACGCAGTAAATTGCTGTCACTTTACTGTCAGATCGATTTTTATTTGAAGTTCGCTAGCTCGCCCCTAGTCCGACGTGCTACTGATTGCAGCGCAGCCTAAAATTGGAAAACTCTTTGAAATGGCATCGAAAACGAAAAGTTTTGTAACTCCTTTAATTCGTCATGTTACGGTAAGTTCATTTAAATGAGTTAATCTATTAAGTTACAAGCTAAATAACAGACTACCTTTTAAAATAATCTGTTCTGTCAAACCCCTGTTATGTAAACCTTTTTGACATTTTCCGGGATTTTAATACTTTGCTAACATGTGATAATCGGCTTACAGAGCAGGGGTTACGCTCAGGCTGCACCAGCGGCTAGGAAGGAATCCAAGGTATCAAGTACAGTCCTCCCCAACAAAACTTTTGTAGCAGCCTTGGACAATGGGTCCCCAGTCACTCGAGTAACTGTCGCGTTCAAGTAAGTATCCTCTTAATTACTCTAAATTTAACAGCACTTTGCAGTAGAAACATGCATTAAAAACATGTAAAAGTCGCACTTAACATCAATTTCATAATATATCATTAGTGTTGATTTTTAAACTAATAGATAAGAGAAATTAAGCAAATCAATTGTTCGTGAATATTATATTTAAATTGATAATTAATGTGATGAATGTTTAAGAACAATAAAATGGTTAGACTAAGTGGTTGTGTTTAGCGCTCTAGACAAAAATCTGAGAATATGTATGTAACTAATTTTCAGGGCTGGTTCCCGTTATGAGCCGCAGACTGAGCTGGGTGTTGCCCATATGCTTCGTTCTGCTGCTGGCCTTAGCACCAAGCATGCCAACTCTTTCATTCTGGCACGTAAATTGGCACAGATCGGTGCCTCTGTAACTGCTTCTGGTGACCGCGAGTTTATCTATTACACTCTGGAGGTAAGTTTTATAATATAGATAGCACAAATCTGATTTATTTCAGTCCAATTTTAGATCCTATACAATTTTGATGAAGCTTATTAGAAAATCTATGAATTTATATTTTAGCTATAGTTGGGTGAGTTGAAAGCAAACTGACAAAATAATGCTATTGGCAATTTGTATTGTATCAAACCTGGAGTTCATTGTATCAAAACATTGAACATTTTAACATTTGATGGAATATTTATTTACTAGCGACCTGCCCCGGCTTCGCATGGGTGCAATATGCATGTATTATATGTGTTCTTAAGTAAGGTTAATATGTATAAACCTTACTAAAGTATCACTCTATCTATTAAAAAAATTGCATCAAAATCCGCTGCGTAGCTTTAAAGATCTAAGTATACATAGGGACATACAGATGGCAGATAGCGACTTTGTTTTTTGCTACATAGTGATAGTGAAAGTATTATAATAAGAATAATAATAAAAACAATTGTGGTTTTCAGACAACCCAGGACAATTTGAATGAAGCACTGGAGCTTTTGAACCAAGTGGTTTCTGGACAGGAGTTCAGACCTTGGGAGCTGGCTGACAATGAGCCTCGTCTCAAGTTTGACATTGCAGCACTCCCACCTCAGGTACACAAGCTTTTTCTTTGATTTATATACTTCCTTTAGAGATTATATTGAGTTGCTATAAAATATGTAGAATGTAAGATTATTACCTTAATACCTTATATTTTATGTATAATTTTTTTTTAAACATGGATTTTCTCATAATATTGTTACTCTAAATTTATTACAATCTCAATCATGATTACCAAGGTCTTGACTTTATATTACTAATGAAAACCTTTGTTTTATGTGCATCAAAATTTTCGTAAACTTAAAAATTAATAGCCCAATTGGCCCGCAGATGACTTCTGAAACAGGCTTTTTTTTAACGGGGGAAAATCATCCAATGACTTCTCCCACCTTTGTGGGTTAGGCGAGAGGGAGTATCAAACTCTTACTGACTAAAAACCACCCCGTTCCTACTCCTGCTCTTCGAGCCGGAGCCCCGGCAACACGGGCCTGGTTCTGGTCGGGCGGCGAGCTACCCCTGCTCGCTGTCCACAGACCGGCACACTGAAACTGGCTGGACTAGTTTAAATAACTAAAAACTTATTACAGATCCGTGCTGTGGACCTGCTCCACAAAGCTGCGTATCGCCGTGGCCTGGGCAATTCTCTTTTCATCTCGCCCAAGAGGATCGGCAAGATTTCATCCGAGTCTCTGCAGCATTATGCATGCAATCTGTTGACTGCCTCACGTTGCGCTGTTGCTGTCGTTGGGAGCACTCAGGTAATTGAGTTGTGAATTTATTTATAACGATTATAAATAGGACCACATCCATTTATTTTACGAGTTTTAATTTTAAAATATCTGCAAATGGTCAATATTAACAATATTCAGCCATTTCATACTTTTTGACTGTGCAAAATGGACCTAGTAAAACGGAGTATTATTGTATTATTTGTACATTATTTTTATATATTATTCCTTATTAAAATTTTCATTTTTTTTTAAGGAAAGGGCTAACATGATTGCTCAGCACCTGAACCTATCTTCTAATGATTTTACTGCAGAAGCCACAAAATATATTGGTGGAGATTTGAGGTATTTATTATTGTTTTAGTATTATTATTGAATAAACTTAAATTATACTGATACCTTGATGAATTGTATTTCTAAAAGAGATGTGCACAATACGTTGTATACTCTTATCTTGTCAAGAGATAAATTATATTGTTATTTGTTACTACTAATATAGCATTATACATTCAGGAAAGAAATGGGCGGTGATCTGGCTCACATAGCCCTTGCAGTCCAGGGCGCTCCAGCTGGCTCTCCACAGGCTCTCGCCTTAGCCGTTGCTGCTAAAGGTATTGTTGTAATATTATTGAAAGTTATGTGATGTGAAATAAAGTTTATTTTACATATGTGTAAAACTGTGAACATTCCCGAAAAAAGAATGTGGATGTGCATGTATGTAAAACTTATATATCAGTTTAGTAAAATATTGCTGTTATTATTGTAGCTCTTGGCAACGGCCCGGTAACCAAGTGGGGTTCCGACAACTCGCCCTTGGCCAAGGCAATCGGCAACGTTGGACCATTCGCGGCAGCCGGCTTCAACGTGGCCTACTCGGACAGTGGCCTCTTCGGTGTTGTACTCTCTGTGCCTAAGGATGAGGCCAACTCTGTAAGTACTTTCGATAACACTGACATAAATTGGGTCACCATCAACATAATATTGGCCTCATTTATACAGATTTTAAAATGTTTGATAGTCTTGAAGTAGTAATTAGTCTACTTAATTTATTGAGTGTCAAAGTATTTAAACCATGTATAGTGATTATAGGCTTTATATAAGTAGGTACATATAAGTACATATTTCAATTTTTCATGAACAAATTCACATAGATTTTAATGTAATACATTAGAATTAATATTTATGTATTTTATCTTTTTTTCAGGCAGTGAAGGCTGTAGGTAATATCCTGAAGAAACCTGCATTGAATGCTGCTGCTATTCAGGCTGGCAAGAGCCAGTTGAAGCTACAGATCCTGTGTGAAGGTGATGCAGGAGCTTCCCTGGCCGAGTCTATGACTGCACAAGGTTTCTACACTGGATCTGTCAAGACACCTGCTGACATTGCAAAGCAAATTGATGCCCTTTCGCCCAATGATATCTCAAAGGTAAGATGAAAATAAGTGGGCCTGTGTATTTTTTAATATACAAATACCTTTTTATTTACTATTTTGTAATATTTACACAGTGATAAACTGGTAATGGTTCCATAACACCTTTTTGCACAGTACCACTAAACCCAATCATAAGATTAAGAAGTTTTTCTGTTGAATTCTAAATTAATTAAATTCTTTCCAGGCTCTTTCCAGTGCCGCCGCAAGCAAACTTTCCATGGGTGCCGCAGGAAACCTAGCATTTGTTCCCTACACAGATGAATTATAAATTACATAATTGTATAGTTGTTATTTCTTTATTTAATAGTACAGAAAGTACGGAACATGTGAGAAATTACCAGTATAGTATAATGTGACTAATATTGATTATAACTTATTGTTCACCTGAAATAAATCAATCATTACATAGTTATTTTTATTTCGTTTTTTGGTATATCTTTCGTTAATCATTAATAAATGGCCGTTTTATTTGAGGAAAATGCTAGTCTAACTAAAAGCATAAAACGTTCATCGACGAAATCGACGTTACCGAAATCACACAACGGTATGCATTAAATAGTCAATTCGGAATAATCGTTATTAGCTCACTTTGTCCAAATCACAATACGCAAAATAAAATAATTATTCCCATTCAAAAATTTGTTACTATAGTCTGTTTTGCACTGAGTAAAGGCATTTACACATTATATTCAATGCAACTATAACAAAGTTCACAGAGTAAAACTTATTGTTCCGAGGTGGTGATTGATAGTCCAACTATACTTATTATACTCTTTGGTCCAATAACGATGTAGATGTTTAAAATCGCCCCGTTTTACGGTCTCTGCTTCTAGCAGTGTGTTGCCACTGCAAATATTACAACTGTGTTCTACAAATGCAAGCATTTTTTGACCGAAATATCAGTTGAAAACTTGCTCAAAACCTTTTCAATAACCAGAAAAGTAAAGCATTATTTTAAAGTAAACATACGATACTCAATGTGTACGACAGCTAGGATGATGAATAGCTAGCTTTATGCCAGAAAGACTTGTAAAATGCATGTGAATTTTAGATATAATTCAAGTTATAGATAAATTAAGTACGATGGTAGTGTAGTACAATAAATAATTTCCTTACTAAAAGTTATCATCCGGAAACTACAAACTCTATGATATGAGTGGAATGAACTATACGGAACTACCTGCGCAAAGAACTTGACAAAGCAATCTGCTTTGTTTTGGAATTATTAATTCATCTAGACAGTCAAAGTTGACTAAAATGTGTTCTAAACAAGTTTACGACACATATTCTAATCGAATAGTTGGTGTTTAACACTTCAAGTTAAAGGTTCGTGTGAGTTCTTTATTTTGTCCTATAAATCGGATGTGTGCGCTAAACTTACATATTTGCACTTCGGTGTGCGCAGAAATCGATAACCGGTGTTTTGAGATGACTCTTTAGTATTCAAAATAAGTAGGTAATTATGAGTTTAGGACAGATAGTTACTATTCAATATACCTAGAACTATCTAAATTCTAAATAAAAGAGTATTAGGTACTGGTAGGGTGGTCAGTTCATTTCCCATGATTACAGATTGTTTACTTATTACGTAGGTACCTACATAGCTGTGTAATAAGTGGGTAGCTAGATAAATATAGATACGTAGTAGGTATTTATTGATCGAGGGTTGAGCGGTAGGTACACAAATGAGTAGGTATTCATAAGGTATGTACCTAATAAAGGATGCGTTTACGGAAATGTTTCGAATATAAATTCGTAAATAGGAACTACAATGAGATGTAGTAATAGAGAGCATTTTATGTGCTCTTTGGGAAGTGCTTAGAATAGACAATGACCTTCCTACAAGAGATTCATTGATTAAACTCCACTCATTCATTATTAACATCCTAATTCAGAACTTGGATGTTGACTTGTGTTACTATGACACTTCTTTACCTAGTTGAGTTGTCTTATAATTACTAAAACTTAGTTGGGCAATCTTTCCTTGAACTAAGTTAATTACCTTTTTTGAATTGTGAGAGAAACCAGAGGTGTCCATAAAGTAAATACTAAGTTAAATTTTAGTTTATTTAGGAAAATGATAGGAAGTGGATTTATTTTTATATCCCTTCCTTAATAATTAGAGCATTAAATAAAAAAGAGCAATTACAATTAGTTAAGTAGTTCCACATAGATAAAAAAAAAACATATTTAGACTGTGGCATTTTTTATTATGATGGAATACAATACTGTATAACATTCAATAGACTGTACATATACCTAAACTTAAAATCATACTTAAAGTAACACTTAAAACAAAAATTGTCGAGTATTTTCCTCATTGCACTTCTGCTTCTGTTAGTAACATATTTGGTATTCCTTTTGATATTGGAAATTGTCTTCCGGACTCAGGACATGTAAGGTTTCCTTCTTCAACCTCTACTTCTAACAAAACTTTATGAACTCTTTTTAATAAATCTTCATCTTCTTCAAATTTTGGTTCTAAAGTTTTTGGTAGTCCTTCACCATGACCAATGCTATTAGCAGCGACCCATAGTACTTCCCAGTCCAATTTCGGAATGACTCGTGTTATAAATTCTGGATTAAAATCTACTTCCGTCACCTTCACATCTGTAGCATTAATAGCCAGTGGATATCCAGTCATTACACCTTTTAAACACTTTGATGTTAACATGTTATGTGTTATGAGTTTCATTTTATGCGTTTAACTTTGCAGTACTCGTTGTAAGGATCCCAACTCTTCTTTGTTCACGTATCGCTCCAGAATCGATTTCGGTACTTATTTAAAACAAATTTGGTTAATGATATAATACTTCACGATGTTATTTTGTGCAGTATCTAATAAATAATACTACTACTTTTAAGGTTATGAAGCCTTAAGTATAAAATTTTGTCTATGTATGTCAATGTCACTGTCAAAGTTCTGCTAGTGATGGCCTGCATCGCATGATGATTTTACGGTTTTCTGTCATAAACGTAAACTAATAACATTATTTCCAAGAAGACTATAGACGATTGCACATATAATGTGTTTAATTAATTGGCACTTTTAAAGTTCTGTGGAAAGGTTTTTATTATTATTTTTGTTATCTCAAACCAAACCAAGCCACCAGCATTTATTAACAAATTATTCTTGGAAGATGGCAGGGTTTTAATTTTAGGCTGGTAACCTTGGCCTAATTTGTCAACCTAAAATTTTGGGTAAAGACATTTTTAAAAACTCAATAAAATTCTCATTGTTTATTTATTGTTCTATGGAAATTTCCTGTACTATTCCATTGAGTTCACATTTTCTATATCTTCATAACAATGTCTCACTTGTGTGATTGTATATCTGAAAGAAATTTTGACGTAAACAGGCCATCAGGTGCACAACTTTCCACGTCGCAACCTTTTCGTTCTAAAAGTTCTTTAAATAACAGGATTCAAGAACATCAAAGCCACTGCAACAGCAAAAAGACTCAAAAGGTACGGCATAAACAATCACAAGGTGAGGCTGGAGTTTCTTCACAAACATTTACTAATTCCTCAATTAGTGATATATCCACACAGTGCCAAAACATAAACATAAACAGTGAAAATGATGAAGTAGACCAAGGAGACAATCCAGCTTTATCAAAAAAGAAGAATTCAAAGAAAAAAGAAAAGAGAAAAAATTTGAAAATAGTGTCAAGAGAAGCTGAGACAATGAATATCCCACAAACATCAGACTTCCAGGTTGGGAGCTCTGGACAAAGTGATGTTGCTTCATTGAAAGACTTCTTTGCTCATCAAATAAGTCCTTTGTATGCATCTACTAATTCTAGGTACCTAGAGAATCTTCGCCATCATCCTCAATTTCAGCTTTCCCAAAGCATGCAGGCAGCGAACCAATATTTAACAAATAATTTACATGCTGCAAGTGTACCAAACACTCCAGTTTATCAAGCAGTGGTAAACCCAACATCCTTAAGCATACCAAATTCACCGATACCTGCAGTTGAAACCATGACTCGTAAATGTTATCAGAATTTTTTACAACATCCATTACTTAGCAAGTCTTTTAATGTGAGAAATAATGGTGAACATTTTACAATGATGGTACCAGGAGAAATTGCAGGTACTTCTAATTCTCAAAATAAAAAACCGAATAAGAAAAAGGATAGTGACAATAAGTTTGAACCATACATAACTGCTGAAAAAATGGAAGCTGGATTAAAAGAGAATATATATATTGAAGGAGTACTTAGGATAAATCCGAAACAATTTCAACATGCATATGTTTCAAGTAGTGGTGACAGAAGTGAACAAGATATTCTCATTGATGGGATAAAGAATCGCAACCGTGCTTTGGAAGGTGATGTTGTTGTTATTGAGTTTATAGAGAGTGACACTGGTGACAATGTGGAAGAAAGTAATAACAAACAAAAGAAGGGAAAAGTGGTATACATCAAAGAATTTGTTCATAATAGAAATTGTATTGGATCTTTGAAACTAATGCCAGATAAAAATAGGCAAAAAGCTTTGTTTATTCCTCGTGATCTCAGGATTCCGCGACTTAACATACCATTTACAAGCTGGCCTGATAATTTTTATGCAGACTCTAAAACATATGAAAATACATTGTTTTCAGCTAAAATCATTGAATGGATAGATACTAGATTTGCTATTGGGCAAATTGTTTGTAATATAGGACAATCTGGAGATATGGTAACAGAAACTAAAGCTATATTAGCCCAAACAGATTTAGATGTGACTCCATTTGGCCCAGAATACAGACATTTATACCCTCGCCTAGATTATGAAATACCAGATGAGGAGATTGCCCTCCGTGAGGATTGCCGCAAGTTGTGTGTATTTAGTATTGATCCATTTAATTGTCGAGATATTGATGATGCCGTGTCTTGCAGACAACTTGACAATGGAAATTATGAGATTGGAGTTCATATAGCTGATGTTGCACATTTTTTAACAGAGGAGACTCCACTAGATGAGAAAGTAGCAGATAAAGCCACAACTATTTATTTGGTAGAAAGAGCTTACCACATGTTACCAGATGAACTTTGCATGCTTTGTTCTTTATTTCCTGGTGTTAACAAATTGGCATTTTCTGTGTTTTGGGAAATAACTGAGGATGCAAAGGTTCTTAGTCACAGATTTTCTAAAACAGTTATTAATTCTTGTTGCCAACTTGCATATGAGCATGCTCAATCAGTACTTGATGATAAGGAAGACTCTAAAGCAAGTTTTCCTGAAACTTACAATAACTTTGACTATGAAGATATTTCCAAAGCAATTAAAATTATTGCCAGTATTGCAAGGAAATTTAGAAAGGGAAGATTTGACAATGGTGCTTTAAGAATTGACCAGCCCAAAGTTTCTTTTCATTTGGATCCTGTTAGTGGTTTGCCTGACTCATATTGGATAAATGAAAGCAGAGAAAGCCATCAACTTATTGAAGAATTTATGTTACTTGCAAATATGACAGTTGCTACACGAATCAAGGAAGATCATCCATCACTGGCATTTTTAAGGTGTCATCCAAAACCTAGTAGTTATATGTTGAAACAACTAGCTAAGTCCTTACAGCTAATGGGCATTGAATTGAACATCAACTCAGCTGGAGAGCTCCATCGCTCACTGTTGGAACATACTGGCCCAGATTGTACAGACAAGGGAAAAGAGATGGTTTTAAACATGTTATGTGCTAAACCTATGACGAGAGCAAAATATTTTTGTGCCTCTGGATGCCATGATGATGAATTTCACCATTATGCTTTAAATGTTCCACTCTATACTCACTTTACTAGCCCAATAAGAAGATATGCTGACATTATGGTACACAGGTGAGGCAATTCTTTTATGTCATAATCTCTCTTTCTCTCTTTTAAAAAAACGTTGCCCCACACTAGGATTATCTCCTGTGTCGTGGGTGCGTTTACAAACATACAAGTTCACATACACATCACACCCAGACCCGAAACAACAATTTGTGGATCACACAAAGTGTTGTTCCGTGCGGGAATCGAACCCGCGACACGTTGCACGGCAGCCGGTTGCCCAGCCACCGCACCAACCGTGCAGTCAACACAACAATATTATTAAATTGTGATAAAGTTGTGTAATCCATTTTTAAATGGGAGTGATTCATAATGATTCATTGACACACTGGTATAAGTGATTAATCTGTTAAATTATTTTTTTTACACTTTCAAATGTATTTTTAATATTGCGCAATAATCTGTATATTTGCTGTTTCTAATAAACAAACTTGTGTATCAGTAGAAATAGATTGTGTAATTTACATGTAATTTTTTTTTCTTTTAAATTTTTTTAGGTTTCTGTTATGTTATGATGTATACAGTAACTAATATAATATTTCCAGGTTGTTGGCAGCAAGTTTAAACTATAGAGAAACCCCAAAATGGAATGTTGACAAAGTTCGTATGATTGCTTCACAATGCAATAAACAAAAATATAATGCAAAAAAAGCAAGTGAATTATCTACAGAAATGTACACGCTTAAGTACATAGAAAGAAAGTCTCCTGTAGTGACTGATGCAGCTGTTGTAGAAGTGAGGGAAAAATACATTGATGTCATAATAATAGCAATGGGATTGAACAGAAGAATATTTTTTAACAATGTGAGTTATTTAAACATTTTTGAGTATTATTTATGGTATTTTAAATATATTTTATTTACAGGCATTAAAAACCTCCTATTACAAAGAATGGTTATTTTTTTTCAGGATTTCCCTGGAAAATACCAATGTATTAAAAACGATTGTGCTAAACTTTCCAAAATGGAAATAACATGGAATGCTGTTAATAATTTACCACAAGTTAAACAAGTCATTCAAGTATTTTCCATTTTACAAGTGGAATTATACAGAGGTGATGACATGGTAAAAGTTGAAACTAAACTTGTGAGACCACTGCCAGAAGTGTCATCTTAATGACAATAATGTTGTTGTGTACAACATACCTATTATGACTATTTGTTGTGATAATTTTTACCTAAAATAATGGATTACTATTTTTAGATTGAAACAAGATTATGGTTTGTGCAAATGGTTTTTCTATTAGATTATTATAGAAGAAATTCTTTATGAAAATATTTGACATCTTGTAGGTACTAAATTTTAAATTTAGGTTTCCTAAATTTGTGTGGTATTTTACTCAATTTTTTTTAAATGAAATGTGTGTATTTTTAATTTGACATGAGGTATTTATATTTTAATGTGTGGTATTTTTCTTATTTACTGTTAAACATTTTACTTAGTACAAGTAAATAATAAAATATTTTCTTAGTTTTAGGGCAAAATGCTCAATCAATGCTTGACTTATTACAAACTGCTGTATTTTAAATAATGAAATTGTACATAATGTATTGTTATATTTTGCCTAATTAAATAATCTATAGGAGGAATTGTAATTATTTTCGCACATCACCCAGCAATTTATGTAATTTATTTGATTGGGAATTTTCGAAAAATCCAACTATGTAATGAGTTAAGAATCCAAAATTTTAAATAACTAAGTTCCTACATAATGAGTGGTTGTGAGTGTGACGCTAGTACCATTTGATAGCCAAGTAGCCAAGATGTTATGCCCTGTTATGCCCCATTATTAGTCAAAAGGAAAAATAAGTTTTATCTTGTAATAATATTAGTATAATTTTGATCATTATTATAAGGTGTTCCCAAATTGACAGTGACCAAGAATGGGTTCAGCTGGGCATTGCAAGTGACTGCTAAGCAAAGGTCCCTAATTGGGGCCATGTAGAGCTGATGCCCGATACGGAGCCGCGGTAGGCCTAACGCAGCGGTCGTCACACTTAACTGGCCAAGGGCCACACATAACTATGTGAGCACCAGGGCCCGGGCCGCAGTATATGCAAAGGTGTTCCAAGAGCTAAGGCTTATCTGTAGTAGTCCATACTATTTATATTATAAATGCAAAAATGTAGGTCTGTATGTGTGTTACTTCTCTACTCGGAAACCACTAATCCAATTTTTGATACGGAGATAGTTAAAATAATACAATCCGCCCATTTAATTATTCGCTTCGTAGGTACTAGCTGTGCCCGCGGCCTCTCGTTCTTGTGAGAGTTGATTGATGTCAAAAAAAGTACTTACTCGTTTATATCACTTACAATAATTATTAAAAAATTCAACTTAAAAAAAATAACTGTTTTATAATTTAAGAATTATAGTGTTGAATTTTTTTTATTATTTCTTGAATATTGGCTGCGCATGTCTATACCCGCAATCAATCCTATATACCTAAGCCTTTAGATTTAACATGTAGAAATGGAATAATAATTATAATAAGACACATAAAATAAACAAAATTAAATTTAGTAGCCTAAAAATCGTCAATTTTCATTAAAAACATTAAATGTCGAATATCTCGAAAAGGGTTAAGTTTAGGGTAGGGTGTTTCATAGTGAAATAAGTCAGAAATGATGAGTACTCCATGTCCTTAACGGATCTAGCACGACTTTTCCTGTAACCCTGTATACTTTCGTTGGATTACTCCATGCCTAATCGTCCTCCCCTGGTTATAAGCAGGAACAGCATTAGAAAATTGTTAACTTATAATTTTTTGGTGGAAGAAGGAAGGTGGAAGAAGTACAAAAATATACTTAAATAAACCTGCTAACCGTGCAGTTTAGATTCTTTTATAGTATTTTAATATTTTTTATGAAAGAATTAGTAATAAAATAATGCTAAACCACTTCACTATTCAGTCAAAATCAAAATGATTATTGACAAAACAAAATCCTCTGTTGACATTGACAGAATGATGACAGGTTGTCAATTTCCTTCAAATGTTCATACATATTTGAATTATTTGTTTTGTTCTTGTTTCGTATGCTCTTTGATTTGATCATATTTCAGTTTTTCTAGCCTGCAATCCGAATTAATAAGAATATTAGAAAGAATGGAACACATGGCGCAAAATATGCACTATGTTGGAGACACAAAAGATTTGTTTGAACTTTCAGGCAGCATAAAAAACTTGTTGCAATTTAACAAAACACTTACACAATCAGTTAAATCGGAATTAATTGATGTTGAAATATTAGACGAAATAAAAAATATTACAAATTGCGAAAATACAGCTATTTATTTTGGTAAAACTTTACGAGATATAAAAATTGTCATAGAGGATGACGAACTAAGGAAGCATGAAATTTATTTGGAATATAAAGCTCCTAAAAAGTTAATGATTACTAATCTTAAGTTACCTTCTTCCATTAAACTTAATCGTGAATATAGTTGTATTAAAGATATATTAAATACAGTCAAACAAAATGTGTATGACTTGGCCAGATATTTCTATGAGATGGAAAATATAGATCAACTCTGTAGTGTTATGGAGCCTATAAATGGTTCATTCAAAGACGATTATAGAAGGATATTTCTCGGTAGGTGTATTACAAGTATTATTCCAAGTTGTATCTGCTTCTAACTAGTTACATAAAATAATTTTATACTTACTATAATGCAGCACTATAAATCAAACGTTACAGAAGTAACTAAGATTAAACTTAAAAAGATGTAACTTTCATTGTAACCAAACAATAATGAAAAATCTTTTACAGATGACAGGACTTGGCTGCATGTTGAGGTGACTCCTGAAGGTATAGCAACCAACATTCATTTGATTGGGCAATCTATGTATTGGCACAACAAACTACAATCAGGACTACTTAATTGGGATCATGATAAAAGTATTGTTGACAACATAATGATGATATTTGGTAATTGAATTGTCTACATTTATTTATTGTTTTAGTATTATATAACACTTTTTAATGTAAATAGCTTCATAACTAAATATAAAACAATATTTCCAGATTTGTTTCAGTTTCCTCAACCTACATTCAAACATGGTGCACCACTAGATATGGACACTGAAGATACCACGGAGAATCCAATTGTTTGTGGCATTTGTTTGTGCACAGAATTGCCTGACAGCCCTGGTGTGCCACAGCCTCTATGTCAGAATATATCCTGCGGGGTTTATTACCACAGAACTTGTCTGTATCAGGTAATAGTGATAAATTAATGAAACCATATAGAGTACCTGTACCTATAAAAATACATAATTATGTGATTAGATAACCAGTTTTAATAATAATAATAAGCCCATGGGCACCTTGAGGCGAGGTGACGGGCATTTTCGACCCCGTAAGCTACCATCATCCCGTGTGCTCCAGGTAGAAGTCACTGTTCCTTATTCTCCGGGTTGCCATAATTGGCTAGCTGGAGTGAATGATGACAAGAAACAGGTCTCCCACCTCTGGCTTGCCTTCATTGGCCGTTCAGAGTGGAGTCGCGAGAGCAGTGATCCTGCTAAGAGGGTGAGAAACTATTCGTAAGTCGCGAGTGGTCCAGGGATGCAGAAGGCTTCTGCTGGAGCAGATGATCTGAGTAGAAAGCCGTGGTAGTTTCTTAACCCTTCAGCCATCGGAGTCGTGGAGAACCTAACAGGTAACCGGGGCTCTGGCTCGACGTGCAGGAAAAGGAACGGGGTGGTTTTTAGTCAGTAAGAGTCTCCCTTCCGCCTCACCCAGGCGGGAAGTCATTCGATGATTTTCCCCCCTTAAAAAAAAACCCTTCAGCCACTCACATTCTCGTTGTCCCTCTGTTGCTATATCTAGCAACCATTCCCAGGGCCCGGTCGGTGAGTTGGCGAGTCTCCGCCTGCCATTTTTACGTGTATTAATTACAATGTTTCGGCAGGTGTGACCCGGGACCCTGTGGTCCCGTGAATGGTAGACATACATAATAATAATAATAAACATTTCATCTTAGTGTAGTAGGTAGGTAAAAATTAGTTTCAGTTAGTTTGTGTAAGATCATGTAATGTTTATTTTTTTTACTTTTGCAGTGGTTAGTTGCATGTTCTGGCAGTCGGCCGCCCGCTTTTGGTATTGCAAATGGAAGCTGCCCTACCTGTCTTCAATCTATAGCATGCAGTGAAAAAGATAATTGAACTTGTTAATTATTTTTAAGTTAAATCTGTGATAAAGCATTAAAACTGATATCCAAAATATGCAGTTTCAATTGTTAATATTAACTACACAATATCATTCTTTTTTTTTTAAACATTGCCCCACACTTTTAAGGGGGGAAAATTATCGAATGACTTCTCTTGCCTAGGTGAGGCGGGAGGCGAAAGGATTAGTATGCTGAAGTGGCAGTGGGTCGGTTACATTTGTTGAAGAAAATCGGTTCTTCGACAAAGTGTGTGGGCAAAAAAGTTCTAGAGTGGAGACCGCGTCTAGGTAAACGTAGTGTAGGGCGCCCGTCAGCTAGGACATCCGCAAGGTGGCTGGCACTGGCAGTGGTTGGATGAGAAGAGCTGAAGACCGAGCGCAGTGGCGTGCCATTGGAGAGGCCTATGTTCAGCAGTAGACGAACACGGGCTAATAATAATATGATGATGATAACGGCTATTGCTGAAATGTGCATAAATTCGAGAGTGATTTTGGAAAAATTTTACCACATCTGGTTACATTTTAGATTTTCTTTGTGTAGTTGTTTCTTTAGTGTTATGTAAGTTGCTAACCCTTCATTGAATTTAGGTATGATGTAAAAACCATGCTTCGGCAAAAAGGGGCTGGTTCGACCAGACATACCTACCACGGTTTAACAAAAATACATCGTGAAACAACCTAACAGCTAGGTATGCGTAGTAGTTTTGCCTTGTGAGCGAAATTACTGGAGGCAAGGGTTCGGTACCTGGGTCGAGCATACTATTGAGCCTGAGAGCCTGAAATTTCTCAAATATAACAGTGCCCATATGGCAAAGGGCTCACCTGTAAATAACTGGTCAAGTTTCAATTATATTAGATGTACTTCTGGTAAATTCTTCTGAGAGTGAGAATATCCATTTAAAGAGATCTCTTAGTTTTAAATGAGAAATTGTTTAAAATAGCTATTAGAAACAAATTTGTGTAGTAAAACAATTTATGCCTTTACTTTTTAATTAGAAATTACGTAGACATAATATTTTGTGGTTACATAGAATAATTCAGTATAAACAATGTTGAGAGATAATGCTTGCACCAGCTGTTCATGTTTCTGTGATTGCTGATAAAACATTTTCCTTAAAACAATAATTATTATCAGTAGTTTGCTGTGGCAGAACTGTTAAAACTTTGCGGGCCTACTCCTGCAGTCTCAACAAAAACAAAAGCAGATACTTAGTAGTTCAGTACACAAAAAAGTTCTTTTAAAAATAAGATCTGATCTCACGTGACAATATAAATACAATTTCACTTAGATGGTATTATATCAAAATACTTCAAACAAATGTTCATCTTTCAAACGCTTGTTTTAAATTGGTTGTTAGTAGTATTTAAATTGTCACGAAAACTTTAAGTAGACTATATCTTGAGTAAAATCATCACAACGGCACTGTGTCAAAAGTACGAGGAGTGAGGCTGGTGCTAGATCCTGGTGCTTCACCACTTTGAGGGCCTGTGTCTCTCCCAACATTCTGAAAACAAAGAAACAAAAGTGAAGGTCTGCTTCAAGTACTTGATGTTATGACAACAAGGCGGCAGCAGTGTTGTTTTAAATCTTACCTTCACATGGATTTGATTTTTGAGCATGGCAGCACGTAGAATAAGCATGGAAGTTCTCCGTTGGTATTCTTTGCCCATGGCCAGACTTCTTTCAAAAGTAGTGCTTCTTTGATCCACATCTTTAGCATACAGTATTTTGTTGTGAGAGTCAATACGAGCCTGGATTTGACCATCTAGAATTAATAGCATCAATTCATCCTCCAAAGCATTTACAGTGCGGTTGAATGCTGCAGCCATCAGGCGCATATCAGCTGACAAGTATGGGCTGAAGTACTGAATCAGTGCTCTGTTTCTTATTTGCATGTAAAGGGAGTTTAGATGTGGTGCTAAATACATGTCTAACATTAGATTATCTCTTATTTCATCCAATAGCCTTAAGCAGGAAGCATACTTAGATTCATAGAATTTAAAAATTATGTCACGTAACTGCGGTTCTAATTCTAAAAATAATTTAAAAGAACTGCTAACTATGACTTGTTTTTGTAATTCAGAACGATCAAAAGTAGCAAGTGCACATAATCCACCATATATGGCAACATTGTTGCTGCTCAGAAGCTCTGGATAGTCACAGTGATCAATGCTGGCTGCTAGGAAGTGCTTAGCAGCAGACTTGTACTTCTTGGTGGCCAGCTCAGCAAGACCTGCAGCACATTTTAAACGAGTCAATATTGACTGATTAGAGTCTTTGCCAGGGACTTCATTGAAGTCTGGGGTGCCTTCTGCCTTAGATACATAGTTAAGGACATGGGCCCAGTTCTGCAAATACACTGACACTTTCACAACATTTAGGCACATCATTATAATGTGTTTGCCACTTGTACAGTAATCTCTGGCTCTTGAGTAACACTTCAATGCACTTGTAAGGTCACCACAATCAAGATAATGGTCACCGAGGTCATCATGACCTCTTCGAATACTCTCCTTTATAGAATTTGTTTTGTAATTTTTAAGATCTGTATCTAATTTCTCCAACTTGATAGCAGCTTTCTTGGTTTTTGATTCAATCCACATAGAGTCCAGAACTGGTATATCTTGTGAACCCATTTGCACTGCAACATCAGGCAAGCCTGCCGAAGCAACTGCTTCTGCAAGCTTTTTGTGAAGTGTTTGGTACAGACTAACATTGTATGTTGTCATGACGTAAGATATAGCCATTTTAAGGGCTTCCAATCTAAGGGAAGGACAATGGTCGGCTACGAACATCAGTCTATACAGTTTAGCGAAACCAGTGTATGATGCGGCGTATGTTTCCAGATCCAAGGTGGGATTCTCAACCACATAACACTCTGTCTCATTGTTCTCATTATCTTCAGGTGGAACATCCACCTGCATAGGTTCAGCTGTGTTCTGAAAATAAAGACATTGTCGAGATATTTGTCAGGCATTTTTATCAAGAGAACCCGAAAAGAAATAATTATCTACTAGATGGTATACTTAATTGAGAGAATACTCACCATTTCGAACATTTTCTATTGTGTACTTGACTTGTAAAAGAAAATACGCGAATTCCACTGTCAACGCAGAAAACCAACCTAAAACAAAGTGTTTCTTTACCTATTTGTTCTTTCAAATCATTAATATATTGTATTACATATTATTCGAATTCAACACTCACTCAGTATATGTACACAAGATGATGATTGTTACAGTAATAATTATTATCAAAATACCTTTATCATTACGTTTCTTCTTGGCAGCGGCATTTTTCTTTTGACGAGGTATATTTTAATGTTGCCATCATAGATAATAAAATCATTGTATCCACGAAAAAATATGTAATGATTTTCGGTAGGTCACAATTTCACTTATTGTTTTATTGCATTTCTTCACATTAATAATGATTATGTAGAATTCTGAAGCCCTAATTTATAATCATTCTTTCAAGTTTTATCGTAGTTTCTGAATAGTAAAGTGATTGTGAAAATCACATTGGATTTTAATCAGTTGAGAAAACTACATATAATAATAAAATGTTTAAATAATTTCAGTCATGTTCATTGATCAAGGGGAAATATTTGATATTTTAGGTGTCAGAAGCTACAGAAGTTTGTAAAGATCGTTCTAGGGTAGCTAGATCGTGTGATAAATGAATAGGTAGGTACCTAGGTACGTAACTACTTACTTTTTCAACATAGTGACCAACTTTTTGCAACCGTGTTCGTTGGCGCAGTGGTTGGGCAATTGGCTGCTGTACAACGCGTCCTGTCCTGTAGATATCTTTCCACGGGTTAATTCTTAAAGCAATTCACAAATATCATTGATCTGGGTCTGACTGAGATCGCACTCAGGGTATGTAAAATGGTTATTGTTGGGAATATAACAAAAAAATCCAAATAATAAAAATTTTCGCCAAGCTAATGAACTTATTATTATAAACTTGAACGAATTAAATCTTGTTTTGTGGTGGTGGAATATGAAGTGATGGCGCCAAATTCAAATGAAAGATTCAACGCAACAAACATTGGTGATTGGCGTTATTAAAAAGAAGTTACATAATTATAGCTTCCTGTATCTGATTGCAGTGGAACCTGTAATTTTGTTAAGGCGTTAATTAAAATAAAGTAATTTTTATTAATTTAGCATTGTTAGACCTTTTGTTTTATAAATTTTATTGCTATTATAACTACTTGTCGCGGAGAACCTCAGGGGTTACCGGGGCTCCGGCTCGAAGCGCAGGAGAAGGAACGGGGTGGTTTTTAGTCAGTAAGAGTCTGACATTAATGGCGGAGCAGTCATTCGATGATTTTCCCCCCTTAAAAATTATAACTACTTAAGTATAGAATCTGTATTTTCATGCAGGATTAATTTTATTTTAGGTTTAAAAAAATAAAATAAAGTATCGATTGCGATACAATAAAATAAATCAATTGTCCACCTATAAACTAAAATAAAGAATACAAAACAAGAAAATAAATTATAAAGAAATACACTACTTATTGCTTTTTCCGCAAACCCACTTTAAAGGTCATACGGAAGAGCGCATGCGTTAAAATATAAAATGTCGATGTTGACTGCTCTAGTAAAAGTCAACACAGATTGTTTGTTGTACAAAACGAAATCAATCTCTCATTTAATGTACGAATTATTCAGTGGCATATATTCTAAATTAAGTAACATGTTTACTCGATTACTCTGCAAATTATTTTCTAGTTATTTATTTCTAGAGACTTTGCGTGAATTTACAAACGGTAAGTGCTTCTATGTGTTGTCTGAGTGCTGCGCGTAGCAGGTACCTGTGTAAGTAAGAAGGTACCTTAACAATAGTAGCCGTAGGTTCTTCTTAGTACCTACCTGCAGAAAATAAATTACATACTTAATTCAGTACGTACCTAATGGATAAAGGTGATGCATATATTTACAGTGTAAATAGGATAGGGGTTTTCAACTTCTACTTCGTGTACTTTACACGTATTTTCTCAATTATTTTTATCTTTTTAGCATCAAGTCTCTTTTAACGTCGGAAATCGCCCGCCAGTGGCGGTTTGTGGCGGGCCGCCACAAATCTCTGCGTCTCCCGCTCAATTCTCACCCGTTGGTGTTGCCAAGTTAAACTTTTTACGCAAATAAAATTAATCCCAGCTTTTATAATACCTAATTAAAAGAATATACATTTTATGCATAAACATAATAACCTTACAATAGCAACTGTAGTCTACAGTATACTTATTACAAATGTGTGTATGTAAGTACCTACCTATGGATACCACTACTATCTTCTCTTTTGTATCTAATGTAGTCTACACTTTTGCCACCCCTATCTTCTCTTCCCGCGTGTGTCACAACGCAAGTGCCGACTAGGGGATGTGGTCGTTTGAAAGAGATCGGGCTACGACTTCCAGACCACACGCCAAGCGTGCATATAGTAGAAAGTCCTCTTATGTAGAGGAGGGCTATACGCCATAAATGGATTGTTGATGTTGTTGGTCTTTGTATGCACTTTTTAACACCAGATGAAGAATGGATTAGAACACCCACTGCTGAACAAGGATAACTATATTTTTTATTAAAAATGTTGCCCGACTCTAAGAGGAGGAGGAAACGCACCCACGGCAAATTCTTTTTTTGTTTGAAACCCTTGTCATTTGGTCCCATTGTCATGAAATCAAGACCTGATGATGGAATCCCAGGGAAACCGATGGGAACTTTTAAAACCGAAAAAATATAGGGACAATTAGTGCATTTGTTAATTTTTTCGTTAAGTATTTAAAACCACTACAATCTTATAAAAGTCTCGAGTTGATCTGATGATGGAACCGAGAGGCAGTCGAGGGGACTCCTCAACGGTTAACAGTAGCTACATTGTGTTTGGGTTTGATTAATTTGTATTGATGAGGACTTTATAGCTAGGTGGTATGTGATTGCCAATAAGGGTCTGATGATGAAGTAGTACCATAGTTGAGGGAATTCCTTAACGGTTAACATTAGCTGTCTTGTGTTTGGGTTTGATTAATTTGTATTGATTTGGACTTTATACCTAGGTGTGATGTGGTTGTCAATAAGGATCTAATGATGAAGTAGAACGATAGTTGAGGGAACTTCTCAAGGGTTAACAGCAGCTATCTTGTGTTTGGATTTGATTAATTTGTATTAATGATGTCTTTACACCTAGGTGTGGTCTGGTTGTCACTAAATGTCCAATGATGAAGTAGTATAATAGCTAAGAGAACAATGGTTAACTGTAGCTACCTGGTATTTAAACTTGAATAATATGTATTGATGAAAACTTTGCACCCATGTGGGTTTTACATAATACATAATATATTCTTGTAGTAAACTAAAAATTATAAAGAAAAATAAAAAACTGCGTTTAAAAATTCCGACTTCAAAAACTAAAATCAAACGAAAAGTAAAAACTAAAAAGCAAAAGTAACTATTATTGGTCATACGTACTTATAGCTTACACACCCACTGATAGGTATTTTTTTTTAAGGGGGGAAAATCATCGAATGACTGCTCCCGCCTGGGTGAGGCGGGAGGAAGTGTCAGACTCTTACTGACTAAAAACCACCCCGTTCCTTCTCCTGCACGTCGAGCCGGAGCCCCGGTTACCCGTTAGGTTCTCCGCGACTCCGAATCGGCATCGGCCCTATTGGGCCCCATCTGTGGTGGTCTGATGGCTCTTACGGTGGCCGGAGATCGTCCCGCGATCCCCGACGCCCGGTGTGTCCTTCGCGATGGCTGGGTTGCCAGGAGGCAGCGCTCCGCTGCCTCACGCGTCCCGCCTCCTCATTAGCTAGCATAACTGCTTCGCCGATCACTTCCCTGAGTGCACGGCGGTGCTCAGCCCACGCAGGGCATTCCGCTACATTGTGTTCCACCGTGTCCTCAGGGCGATCCTCGCAGTGATGACACCCGGGCGTTTCCTCCCGCCCCCATCAGACACAGGTACCTCCCGAAACTTTCATGTCCGGTGAGGACCTGCGTCAGGCGGTAGGTGAGGACGCCGTAGCGTCTCTCAAGCCACTCCTCAAAGAGGGGTCTTACCGCTGCAATGGCAGCGAGCCCAACCCACTGATAGGTTAGAAGTTTAAGAGAATGCTGCTGTACGTTGCTCGGGGGTTGATGATGAGCTAATTGAATTTGCTTTATTCAGCAGACTAAAATGCAACATTGCGATCTCAGAGTTAACCAAGGATTACTATGGCTGTCTGACTATGACTATGACTATGAGTGTGATGTGACTATGACTATGAGTTATGTTCGATTCCTTTTTTATTACAACCGATCTAGGTAGGCCAGCTGGTTGAACTGGATTAGTGCTTCATGCTTGGTTGATTGGTTGTTGTTATAAAACCTAATTTGTATAGATATCTTTCCATATCTAACCAGAGATACAGATTACGAATATCTGTACAAATTATGAGATCCGTATATTACTTACGCAACGAATTCATACACAATGCACAATGCACACATAATTACATCATTTTTTCGGTTCTTTTTGTATTTGGTACATTGATAACTAACTTACTTTGGCTTGATAAGGGCATGTTACAAATAGGTACTTAGGATAAGAGTCGGTAATCTGGCAATGTCTTAAATGTGTGACAGCGATAAAATCTTGTGCTATCAGTACGAATATTTACTTACTGAGAAATACAGGAGTTGTTTGCAATGATATAATTGGTAATGAACATCTTAATTTGTTTGTTTCGTGTGTGACGAATGTCACAAATGTATAATGTCATCATTGTCTTCCCAAACGCATCGAGTTATTAACAACAAAGTTTGACACGCTGTAGGAGAAAATTATTTTTAGACCTTCAAGTGTTTCAAACCGATGCGCGCGCGCTGTGTGGCACAAAACGTCGTAGTGTGCTTAGTTAACGATGGTGTTCACATTATTTTATTGAAGTTGGTGATTCTTTACATCATGAAAAATAAATATATTTTATATATTAATTAGAATTAAAAGTTGTTTTCCAAAATAAGGCCGTTAAGTCGGCAAAATCAAAGTGAAGTTATTAGATTACATTGCTAATCTGATGTTACGCAGTGACTCAACATTAGCGGTGTTATTACCTGATAAGAGATACAAGTGAATTACCATAAATTTTAGGTGGATGAGTGCAGTAGACAGTTGGTGCGTGATGTTGATGATGAAGGGAGCACTGCTGTTGACGGTCTTGTATCTGTTGCGCTGCGAAGGTGCGGTGGTGGTGACGGTGGATGACCACCCCGTCGTCAACGACCGGCCTATCATCGGCGTGCTCTCGCAGGAGCAGTCCATGTACCTCCACACCAAGTATCCCGAGGAGAACTACACCAGCTACATCGCCGCATCCTACGTCAAAGATGTAGAAGCGTCTGGAGCGAGGGTGGTGCCAATACTGTAAGAAATGATTTTAATATTATTTTGATTGAGAGGTTTAGGAAGCCAATTTTACTCATAAATTATATTTAAAAAAAAATGTGTTGCAGGATCGGAAAAGATCGCAGCTATTATGAGGAACTTATGGGAAAATTGAACGGGTGAGTAAAATAATCAATACCTAAAATTTACTTTATTCTTGTTATATATTTACAATGAGGAACTGATTCGATGTTGGGTAATTGAGTATTTGACAGGATTCAGGTAAGAAGTTTGGAAACTGATATTAATTATAGGTACAGAATACGAAGTTGTGGAATAATTATTAGGAATAAAATAAATATACATAAAAATTGAGCGTGGTCTACCTTAAGGAGTGTGTGGCACACGCTAGGTTTTGCATGATCGTTTTAGCCGTGCATAACCGACAGGCAAGTCCTAGCGTGTATGTGATTAAACTGTACAGTTATCGGTGCATCGGTGCTCGGTTATGCTTGTCGGTTTTGCATGCAAAGTTATAACCATCATGCGTAACCTAGCGTGTATGGCCTCCTTTAGCTGTCTTTTTGAGAAAATGCAAGCGAGACGTTATGTAATACGAGTTATGACCATCATTGAGTTATACAATTAATTATGATAAGGTGTTGAAAATTATATTATATAGGTGCAGCAAATAGCCAAATAAAAGATGCACACCTCGAACTCGAAGCAGGTTTTTAATAATGTCCCTCCAAAAATCACAGCGCACAACGAACAACAACCGGAAGCAATCAATTAGTCAATTTAACATCCATAAAGTAATTAGTTATTTAGATAATAAACATTTAAATTACAATCATATTATAATAATATAGTCAATGCAAATTAATAATTTATAGTGAATTTGTAATTAACAATAACTCATTAATAATTAAATAATTATATAGGAACTACACCGGAACTAAGTAAGGTTTATAATATCCACGCAAGATAACGTTAGTTGTAGAACATTAGTCGATATCGGAACTAAGCAGTTTATAATGTTTTCACAAGATGGCGTTAGTTGTAGAACATTATTGAATATTGGAACTAAGAATGTTTACACAAGATGGCGTTGGTTGTGGCACTTGATATTGGAGCAGGAACTGGTAGGAAGTGTTACACTCGGCCATCCTGCATCTGCCGTGGTCCTCCTCGGCGTTCTTCTCCAGCATCCTTTTTGGGTTGTATCTGAAAACAACAAGAGCACAGTACATTGCTCTAGTAATTTTATCATGATGAAAGTATGGTAATAGGTAGGTAAATAATTTTGATTCATGTTGTTTATCAGCAGCGCAGTGAGTTCAATATATAATTATCACACAGATTTATCTGCCATATAGTGTAGTAGGACTACAGTAATTAAGTTCAGATTATTCGTAATTTTGGAGTAGAAATAATATAAATAGTATTTCACATAGTTACACTTGTTCATTCTTATTGGATATGGACAGACCTCACACAGATCTTATGCTGGATGACACAGCTCAACATGAAGATATTATGGTAATAATTTATTCAGATTTAATACTGGATCCTAAGGCTCAGCGTGAGGATATTATTTTAATCATCACATAGATCTTATGCTGGATCACACAGCACAGCATGAAGATATTATTGTGTAGTCAATCACACAGATCTTATGCTGGATCACACAGCTCAGCATGAAGACATTATTGTAGTCAATCACACAGATCTTATGCTGGATCACACAGCTCAGCATGAAGACATTATTGTAGTCAAACACACAGATCTTATGCTGGATCACACAGCTCAGCATGAAGACATTATTGTAGTCAAACACACAGATCTTATGCTGGATCACACAGCTCAGCATGAAGATATTATAGTAATTAATTACACAGATTTACTACTGGATTGTAAAGTTCAGCATGGGGATGTTATTGTAATCATCACACAGAACTTATGTTGGGCCAGAAAGTTCAATATAGAGATATTACCGTTGCCAATCACACAGATTTGTTTTCCAGCCATCAGCGTAACCAACCAGACATAAATGCTACATGTCTAGTTTTCATGTGCAGCTTGCTCCAGTTGTTGCTACATATTTAACATTAACTTAAAATTAGGAATTTAACAAAATCTTACTACTAATGCACATTTGAAGGACATCACAGCATGCGTTGAGTTGAAAACACTATATCAATTAAATTAAATTTACTTAAATTGTCATGCAACACATGACATACATGCAATAAGTATAAGAAGCTGGGGTTAATTGTACTATTTGTGCATTTTCGGGAAAGATGAAGCAGTGCATAAAAATACATGTTTATTAATTATTATTATCATTATCATAACATAAGTAAGTACCTATTATAAAAAAATTTGGATAGTATGACAATATTCGCTTTTGTTTATTGACTTTTGTAATTGGGTAGTTTACTCAGTAAGAAATACATTATTTCAATTTACCACACAATAAGATAAGTTTACTCAACTTTCAAACTTCAACTTTTCTTAAAAACTAATCACACTTTCAGTCTTAGATAAAATATATTTGCCCACTAGGCTAGTTTTAATAGCTAAAAATATTGCTAATTAATTAAGTGGGTGTTTTAGGAAACTGCAAACAAATCAATATCAATTTAGCTTTCCAACAAATCAATCAAGTCATCCCTATCAACCTCGCGGTCAGAATCTGTGGAACTATCTGATACTGACGACTTATAGGGTCGAAGTGAATCACCTGGAACTACTGCATTGAATTTTCTGTAACCCTTCATTCCTTGTATACTACTAATTGTATAACGGTCTATTGTATGGTCAGCTTTGGTTACTTTGTAAGGGCCTGTAAATACACTTCCTAATTTTTTGGTCACACCGGCAGTATTATCTCGTGCTAAACCCCCTTTCCATAGAACTAAATTACCAATCTGATACTTTCTGCAGGTTTTGTGCCTTTTATCATACTGGTTTTTCATAACGGTCATGTGTTTATCAATGCGCAGCTTCGCTTTAATTCTGCGTTCGTCTAACTGTTCTTGAGGGTTAGTATCAGTAGGGCTATGTTGTGTAACATAACCCGGAAAACGAGAATTATTGTGTGAGAACATAAGCCTGAATGGCGAGAACCCCGTAACTGCATGAGGACTGTTATTAATACCCCACACTACGTCTGATAGTTTTTCATCCCATGTGCACTCACTTTCAGCAGTAGTGTTGAGACCGTTAATAATAGTCCTGTTTACGCGTTCAACCTGCCCATTCGAACGCGGACAGGCAACGGCATTTAAAACATGTTTAAATTGTTCCTGGGCAGAAAACTCTTTAAAATATCTACTCGTAAATGCTACCCCTCTGTCCGTAATTATTCTGTGGGGGTGGCCAAAAGTACGGATAACTTCTTTCAAGTTTTTAATTGTCTCTATAGAACTTGTACCCTTAACTGGTAGTGCAAATACGAATTTTGTGAAAGAATCTATGATAACAAGAATATAGCAGTTACCCTTACGTGTTTTTAAAAATGGTCCTAAATGATCAACGTGTAATGTATGCATTGGTACGGCTACCTTTTGTATAGGGTGTAGTTCGCCTTCTACCTTACCATAATTTCCCTTAGCATAGGCGCATTGTAAGCAAGCGGTTATGTATTTACGAATAAATCTTGTCATACCGGGAAACCAAAACTCGGACTTTATAGCCTTTTCACACTTATCAAACCCCAGATGTCCTAGTTGGTCATGATATTTCTGTAATAGTGACCATTTCGAAAGTTTAGGTATAACAAATCTATCGCCGTGTAACGTTTTACGGAACAGACACCCATTAATAATTTTATAGTTACTGGCTAAATCTGAATTATCCGTGCCCTGACTTAAGCGGGTGATTATGTTTTGCACAGCATCGTCTTGTAACTGCAGAGTCAGACGCCAGTCGGCCTCATCAATACGCATTATAGGAATACTATGAATAGGATTACGACTGAGTGCGTCTACGTGCTTCATTCGGTCCCCGGCGCGATATTCGATTTCAGTATCAAAGTCCTGGATAGTCAACCACCAACGAGCTATTCGGGGAATTAAGTCTTTTTTTGTAAGTGTTGTCCTCAATGCTGCACAATCTGTTACTATCTTTACTGGGATACCAGTCACATATATTCGGAATCGTTTTAAGGATTCCACAACAGCGAGAGTTTCCAACTCATAACTATGATAGTGCATTTCTTCTGGACTAGTCACGCGACTAAAATAGGCTACAGGTTTCAAAGCACCGTCATCTTGATACTGAAGTAGAATACCGCCTAACCCTAAACTACTCGCATCAGTATGAATTTCTGTTTTCGCATATGGGTTGTATATTGCTAAAACAGGACGTTCAGTTAGTATCACTTTCAGACGGTTAAAAGAGCGGTCCTGTTCCGAACCCCATACCCATGCTACATCTTTCTTTGTTAGACTAGTCAATGGTCTGGCAATTTCAGCAAACCCTTTAACAAATTTACGGAAATATGATGTTAATCCAATGAACTGACGCAGTTCATGAACATTTCGTGGCTGCCTAAAGTTAATGACACTGTCAATCTTCGCTTGACCGGGTCGTATAGATCCTTCGGTAATTTCATGACCTAAATAATTTACACTAGTTTTCAAAAAGGAACATTTTTTTAAATTTAGTTTAAGGTTTGCCCGAGAAAGTAGTTTTAGTACAGTTTCCAATAATTCTAACCCTTCTTCTATAGTGACAGACGGTAATGTGACGTCATCAAGATAGGTGGCTATCTTATTGTCGAGTGACCCAAGTGCTTTTCGGATTAATCGAGAGAAAACTGCTGGCGCATTAGCCAACCCGAACGGCATCTTTATAAATTCATACTGGCCAGACGATGTTATGAACGCGGTTTTGTGGATCGAGTTTCCCGACATTTTCACTTGATAATACGATTGGGCCATATCTAAAACGGTGAAATATACTTTCCCCGAGAGTTTATTTACCTGGTCGTCAATATGAGGTAGTGGGAACCGATCTTTTACCGTACGAGCATTCAGGGCGCGATAATCCACACATAACCTATAATCACCTGCCTTTTTCTTGACTAGAATCACAGGACTAGCATATTCAGAGTTCGATTCTCTGACTATACCAGCGGACATTAATTCATTTACCTTTTCCTGCACTATTTCATTTTCTTTGTAAGATAATCGGTATGGCTTACAATAAACTGGTGTATTAGTTGTTGTCGATATTTGCATTTCTATTAGATCCGTGCAACCTAACTCACTACTGCACTCCGCAAAACAAGAGCGATAGTTATTTAATAAATTTAGTAATGATTCAGAATATTTATCATCTATATTGCCAATATTTAAATCGGAAGAAGAAAATATCTTGTTTCGCGAAGGACTAGTAATCGAACTCTGACTATTATTAATAAAGCCTACGTCGTCAGTCATGATTACTTCTGCGCGCGTTACTAATTTACCCGCGGGCCACTTTATACGAGAGTCGCCTAAGTTTATTAATCGTAATCGTATGTTATTCGGTCGACTAATTATCTGCGGTATATAGTACGATTCTTTACCTAATTCATATAAAACGGAACGAGTAGCAAGTATAGCGGTAGGTGTCAAATCATAATTAGTATAAACACACATTTCGATACTTGAACCCGGCAACACTTCGATATCACATGACAAAAATAAGGGCACTTTTGAAATAAAATCTTGGTAAGACAAGGAAATATCTTTTAGGTTATCATCGCTATTCGCAACGAATGTTACTGATTTTGCAGTTACAATTAGAATTAGATCATTCCGATTTATTATTGGTTGGCCTATGATCAAATCAATGTTATTCAAGTTAGCATCTGTTACCTCTGCACTCGTTTGGATACTTAACCCGTCAATGCGTAACGTAAAATTAGTTCTTCCTAAGGAGTTGATAAGACACCCACCAAACCCTCTCATAATTACATCGGAAGACGACATTATTAGTTGTAGAATTTTAGTTATTTGTAAAGAGATTATATTAACTTTACTGCCGGTGTCTATGTACCCAAAAGCCTCAAATTCATTATTGATATTGATTCGTTTCCCTTACACATCAGAAATTATTTCGGTAGAAATGTGGAAGATATTTCGTACCTGTTGATTCCTATACGTTTGTAACGCCGGTGTTCCTCGTGAGCTCCCGGCGCCGTACCAGCATGTATCCGAAGAATGTCCGATGCGCTGGCAAGTCAGGCAGCGCGCAGCCCGACAGTCTTTCGCCTCATGCCCCGTCCGCCGGCAATTGTAGCAAATCTTCGGGTAGTCGGTGACGAATCCTCGTCGCCACGTAGACCTTGACTTTGATCCAGCCAAATTCGGTCCAGCCCTATCTTCTATCTTCTTATAGTTGTCCAGAGACGACAGAAACCCGTAATATAACTCCTCAGGCGTATTGTAGCCACAAGCCTTCGCGTTGGCGCGTAATTCAGCGGGGAGTCCACGTATGAGACAAGAGGTAGCATTTTCTCCTTCGAGCTCGCATTTTCTCATCAGAGATATCTTGTCGTGGTAATATTTCGTCATCGTTTCACTATTGGACTTCTTACGTGCTAGCATTTCCTCTAACCGATCGACGAAATCGGTGGATCGAGGGAATGCTTTCAGCAGCCAATCCTTCCACGTATTCCACGTGGCGCTGTAATCCTCCAAATCATCGTACCACTCACGTGCAGCACCTCGTAATCGAGTTTGCATGCAGAAGATGCGATCCTTTTCTTCCCAGCCGTTTATATCTCCCAATTGATCTATTTTGTGTAGCCATCCTTTCACGTTCATAAATTTCTTACTTGGATCAAATTTCGGTATGATTTCTGTGTCCAGGTAAGTGATTCTTCGTATTTTCGTCGATGGCTGATCCTTTGCATTTTCAGAAAAAAAACGTCCATTTTCTTTGCCGCCTTCATCCGTCGAAGATTCCGAACATGACGACTTCTTCCCGAGACCGCGATAATATGGACCGTGGAATCCCTCCATCCCACTTCTGAACTATGATAAGGTGTTGAAAATTATATTATATAGGTGCAGCAAATAGCCAAATAAAAGATGCACACCTCGAACTCGAAGCAGGTTTTTAATAATGTCCCTCCAAAAATCACAGCGCACAACGAACAACAACCGGAAGCAATCAATTAGTCAATTTAACATCCATAAAGTAATTAGTTATTTAGATAATAAACATTTAAATTACAATCATATTATAATAATATAGTCAATGCAAATTAATAATTTATAGTGAATTTGTAATTAACAATAACTCATTAATAATTAAATAATTATATAGGAACTACACCGGAACTAAGTAAGGTTTATAATATCCACGCAAGATAACGTTAGTTGTAGAACATTAGTCGATATCGGAACTAAGCAGTTTATAATGTTTTCACAAGATGGCGTTAGTTGTAGAACATTATTGAATATTGGAACTAAGAATGTTTACACAAGATGGCGTTGGTTGTGGCACTTGATATTGGAGCAGGAACTGGTAGGAAGTGTTACATAATTATGATAATGTTTGATGACCAAACATCTCTTGGTTACTAAAAAAAGGATCTTAATTATGTCATGTTACCTACATTACATTATTTTTTACAAAAGCAGCTATAGGTATCGTGGATTCTGAAATTATGATTCTGAAATTTATGACTGTAGGCGCGCCAATTGGGTTCAAAGTACAAACTTATGTTTTTTAGCTTCTGCACACGGTTTTGCCTGTGTTCTCGTGTGATAAAAAAGTACCCTATGAGTTACTCCAGACCATAAACTATTCCAGATCCCAGTTCCAAATTTCATCCCGATCCTTTCAGCCGTGTTGACGTGATTAAACTGTCAAACACCAAGCGGTCACCGGTGACCGCGACCTATTGTTCTTTAATTGTGTCTATAAAACCGGTACTCGACGAGTTAAGTAACAAACATACACACAAACAAACTAACGTACAAACACATAAACACACAAACTTTCGCATTTATAATATTAGTAAGAATTAAGGTACTAATATACATGCTTTTAATTTAATCGATAATATTAAACACTACTATTCTGTCTCTCTGCATCACCCTAAGGTGGACTGTTAGAGAATGCCACTAGGCATTAAGTCCGCCATTGTATACAATTGCAAGAAGTGTAAATAAATAAAATAAAATAAACAAACCTAATTTATACTTTTTTTGTAAATTTCAGGGTGTTGTTCCCTGGCGGAGCTACCTACTTCAACCAATCAGATGGCTACGCAGACGCTGGTCAGCACATATACGAGATAGCTCAAGAAATGAACGACGCTGGTGACTACTTCCCTATCTTCGGTACCTGCCTCGGCTTCGAGCTGCTCATCATTCTGGCGTCTGGTCGAGGGGAACCTGAGAATAGGATCAGATGCTATTCCTACTCGAATATTCCTCTTAATTTTACCGATGGTAAGTATAGCATTATGTTTTGTCTTTGAGTGGAATCAAATCTCTCTGTTTGCCACGAAGTCGTAAGCGCTACATATCGAGGTCGTACGCGCTATAATGACCAATGGGCTTCAAGTTTTAATTCATGGTTGATAAATTAGGGGTGTATGACAATAATCGTGTTTCTCAAATCAAATCCTGTTTTAAGAGGAAACGTACCTACCTAATACACAAATATTTATCGGGTACATAAAAGTATCTGATTTAATTGGTACGTAAACCACTGCCTGGAAAACCAGCATTAATATTCAGATGACGCCATATGTTGGAAGCATATAGGTGCAAATCATTCGGTGTTGTTGATATGCCTATACATATAAATAAATTAATTGCAATAGATAACCATCATATCGGCAAATTTCCGGAGTGTAGGCACTTTAGGATTAGATTAAAATGTGACGTAACTAAGATGTCTAGTTTTATTTTCGTTGATTTTTTTATCTTTTCCACGTGGTTTTGTTTGTGCACTCCATTTTTAAGTGTCGTGTGATCTTAGATAGCATTATTGCCTTCCTAAAAATACCTGACAGATTTTCATAAATCAACATTTTCTTACACTTCTTTTTTTAGAGATTATTGCATACAATAATATAAAATCTTAATTATGTTTTGCTATAAGGCCTTATATGGTGGAAAATAAATAAATAATAGTTGTTATTATTATAACGTTCATATTAGTTCTTTGGGGTACCAATCTTTTGTGGTATATTTTTTTTTAAGAAATCTGTATCTTTCTAGTCTACTGAAACATTAAATCACTCAGTTTCCATAAGTCAGACTCAGTCACTATGTATTCAGTAATAGAAACTCAAAATTACTTATGTACATTATTTCCAGACTATCACACCAGCAAAATGTTCAAAGAGACACCAGAAGACATTCTGGAATTATTGAAGAACGAGGATGTCACAGTCAACGCTCACCAGTTCTGTATTAATGATGAGGTGCGTTTACATTACTCTTATACCATAGATCAGGCCTGAGTATATCAAAAAACTGCATCAACTGCGGCCAGTTGATGGTAGTAACCTAACCTAACTGCGATTTCCAACCCGCTTGCGATGTGTGGGGATTGTGAAAAATACTTTCTTTAAAGATAGACCTTTGTTCAGCAGTACACGTTTTCTGGCGGTTAGAATAAAATAGAATAATCTTTATTGTACACCATTAATAATATAGAATAAACAGAAAAAAGAGATAACAAACGTAAATAAAAAATAATAATAAGCATGAAGGCAGTCTTATAACTAGTGATTTCTACCAGCCAACCTTTGGATGGCTACTGACGAACCTACGGATTATACTTAATCATATTGAGTACCTAGCACTGTAACTACTTTTGAAATACTAAAGCTCAAATGTGTGTAGTGCAGGAGAAGGAACGGGGTGGTTTTTAGTCAGTAAGAGTCTGACACTCCCTCTCGCCTCACCCAGGCAGGAGAAGACATTCGATGATTTTCCCCTCTTAAAAAAAACGGCTATGTCCCAGAAGGGCCTGTATGGGGTTATGTATTTATAGCTACTGAAAGTTGTACATACTTAAATACCGTGCCCGCTTTGTTATTTTACAAATAATTTGTAGTGACAGGCCTAACTACCGTCGCGGAGAACCTAACGGGTAACCGGGGCTCCGGCTCGACGTGCAGGAGAAGGAACGGGGTGGTTTTTTAGTCAGTAAGTGACTGACACTCCCTCCCGCCTCACCCAGGCGGGAGCAGTCATTCGATGATTTTCCCCCCTTAAAAAAAAAGCCGGTATCGCACTTGTAACGGTGTTCCATGCCCATGAAAAAATTGAGTGGCGTTTGAGTATTTTGGCGTAAATCCATGAGTCGACACAACTGACATAGTTCATACTTAACACTGTCTCAGGGCCGGATTTAGGGGTCCTGAGGCCTCGGGGCAACAAAGGAGTGGAGGCCCCCTTGCCCCAAATTATTTTCCAGATTGAGATCAAGGACGCTCGCTTGATTTCGAGGACGCTCGAAAACAATCGAGGACGCTCGAAAACGATCGAGGACGCTCGAAAACGATCGAGGACGCTCGAAAACGATCGAGGACGCTCGAAAACGATCGAGAACTCTCGATAGATTTCGAGGACGCTCGAAAACAATCGAGGACGCTCGATTGATTTCGAGGGCGCTCGATAGATTTCGAGGACGCCCGATAGATTTAGAGGACGCTCGAAAACAATCGAGGACGCTCGAAAACAATCGAGGACGCTCGAAAACGATCGAGGACCCTCGATAGATTTCGAGAACGCTCGAAAACAATGTAGGACGCTCGAAAAACGATCGAGGACGCTCGATAGATTTCGAGGACGCCTGATAGATTTCGAGGACGCTCGAAAACGATCGAGGACTCTCGATAGATTTCGAGGACGCTCGAAAACAATCGAGGACGCTCGAAAACGATCGAGGACGCTCGAAAACAATCGAGGACGCTCGATAGATTTCGAGGACGCTCGAAAACAATCGAGGACGTTCGATTGATTTCGAGGACGCTAAATAGATTTCGAGGACGCCCGATAGATTTCGAGGACGCTCGATAGATTTCGAGGACGCTCGATAGATTTCGAGGACGCTCGAAAACAATCGAGGATGCTCGAAAACGATCGAGAACTCTCGATAGATTTCGAGGACGCTCGAAAACAATCGATGACGCTCGATAGATTTCGAGGACGCTCGAAAACGATCGAGGATGCTCGATAGATTTCGAGGACGCTCGAAAACGATCGAGGATGCTCGATTGATTTCGAGGACGCCCGATAGATTTCGAGGACGCTCAAAACGATCGAGGATGCTCGATAGATTTCGAGGACGCTCGAAAACAATCGAGGATGCTCGATAGATTTCGAGAACGCTCGATTGATTTCGAGGACGCTCGATAGATTTCGAGGACGCTCAATTGATTTCGAGGACGCTCGATAGATTTCGAAGACGCCCGATAGATTTCGAGGACGCTCGAAAACGATCGAGGACTCTCGATAGATTTCGAGGACGCTCGAAAACAATCGAGGATGCTCGAAAACGATCGAGGATGCTCGATTGATTTCGAGGACGCTCGACAGATTTCGAGTTTAAGAATTGAAGAATACCAATTGTTCACATACTGCAATTAATTTTTTTAATGGTCGAGACACGGAATCGAATCGCCAACCTCCGAGGTTGCGGGCAAGTACCATCCCACTGAGCCATTGAGCCATTGGGGTACTCCCTCAAGATGGGTAGTAAATTGGAAGTGCTTATCAGAGCCATTTGGGATTTTAATATTTCACTGATTGCCTGATTGGAGTGAACAAATATAGATCAATGATTTCTGTTTCTGTTAATATTTAAAATTAATATAATCAAATAATCATGTAGGTATGTGTAAGGTACTTTAGGCTGTAGGTAAAGGTAAAAGCGAAAAAAAAAATATCAAAGAAAAGATGTTTACTTGGTTTACTAGTTGAAATTTGAAAGATATTTTTTTCCGAAGTCTCTATTGTGGAGGCCCCCTGCTTGTGGAGGCCCCGGGGCTTTCGCCCCGGTTGCCCCCCCCCTAAATCCGGCCCTGCACTGTCTTAATATACCACTTTCTCAAATTTCTCGTTTCTAGTGTTAATCAGATTAGCTGTTCTTCAAATTGTGTTAAAATATACCTACCTCGTATTTTATTTTCAGAACCTGATATCTCACAACTTAACCCAGGATTGGCGAGTGACATCTCATTCATACGACGACTACGGAGTCAAGTTTATAGCCACCGTGGAACATACAAGGTGATTACAATATTTTTTGAGAGTATTGATGATACAGTTTCCTTGGTGTCGATTTTTGATGAAGTCAGTCGTTGTGAGAACTACGGGAGGTGTTTGAATATTTTTTTGAGAAATTAAAATGTTTAATTACTTATTAACATAATCTTAAAGAATGGAAAGTTAACTGTATTTCTTCATTTTGAAAATGTAGAATAGTTATTTAATATCTCATAATATTGCAAATACTGTTGCATACATGTTTGTAATAAACGACATTCGTGCGTGCCTAAAAGGAACGCTGGTATTCTTATTAATGAACCATAGAGCGAACATATTATAATAACATTGTGTCAATATGGTAGGTGTACAGTCTTACACAAACTGATTAGTTTGTTATAAGTATCTAATTGTTATATTTAGACAAATAATTTTTGAAAAATTTAATATTTTAAGTAAATATTTTATTTTATATGTACCTACCTATTATACGATATTTGAAGAAGAGTTGAAGTTAACTTGTTTTACATCCTTTTATTGTAAAACTTACGATGATGGATGGATATGATACAGAGTTTAACTATTTGTTATAATAATTCAACTTTCTAGTAATATAATATTTTTGCATTGAACCTAGTATTAGGTACTGATCGAATATTGCAACTGTTTAGCATATTTCAAAAATTGGATTCAACTCCCACAACATCTAGCTAGGCTATTCTATAACTTTCAATTCGCGAGATCGAAGTCGTCACGGTCCGCCATATGTCACTGGTTGAGAGAATAATCGATACCAATGACGGGCGAGAATGCAATCGAGTTCACTTCGAAAGTTAGCCTAGCTAGTTGGCTATGACAGCCGAGCTCTCAGACTTTACATAAGGTTTTCAACTTATGTAAACATCATTAGGAATTCGGACGTTATTAAAGGTATTTTCCATTACCAGGTATCCATTCTACGGTGTCCAATTCCATCCAGAGAAGAGCTCCTTCGAATGGAAGTTGTCAAAGAACTACCCACACTCGATAAACGCAGTCAAATCAAACCGTTACTTCATGGATTTCTTTGTGAAGGAGTGCAGGAAGAATATGCATTCTTTCAAGAACCAGGCTGAAGAGAATGCCTACGTGATATATAACTACGAACCTCACTTTACTGGCGTGTTGGGTAGCGCTTACCACCAGTGCTACTTGTTTGAACCTAGAGGCACTGTTGCCAATAGCGGTTGAGGTCGAAATTTACTTTTGAGTACTAGAGGTATATAATTTTTAATGACGATTACCTATATTACTTGAAGACGTATTTTATTTTATTAATTGTAAATGTAAATAAAAAAAATAAAAAATAAAAATAAAAAAGTTTATTTCAATTACAACAGGCATTACATAAAATTATTGGAGATCACCTTTTAAGCAATGGATTGCTTGTGCTAGGAGACTCCGCGCTTCCACATGACATTCTAAAGTAATTGAAGTTACAATGTAGATAATGTAAACATGCAAGATTAACAATAAAACAAGAAGAAAATAAATCAAGTTAAATGAATAAATTATTTTTCGTTATCAATGAATATTTTATTTGCCTCGTTTTCATAGGTGTTTTGTAAACGATTTAGCATAGAAACAGATTCAGCAATTACAAAAGTTCTTTTTTTGTACGAATAATAGACGTTTGGTAAGATCTCGTGATTGACCTCGACTGAAGAAGGGATTTTTATATTCGATGTTCTAACTTCTGTCCGAGTAATAATACTAATAATGCAGTTTCTAAAATTGTACTTTGTGTGTGGTATGTCGATACCACACGCCTAGCACGTCCCTTCCATTCCTTTTTGGGTACGAGTAACTAAGAGTGCAAACGACAAACAATATAAAAATAAGCATAGTGTCTACCTATTTAATTTTTTTTGATGTTGCTCCACACTAAGATATTCTCCGGTGTCGTGGATGCGTGACAGAATTATTTTTTTAAACCTTAGATACCCTACCTTAACCTATTATTTACATACATAGAAAAAATAGGTTAGCAACAAAATGGTATGATTTTTTTATCGTGTGTCTAACCCAAGTTGGGGTATTTTATACGTTTAATACGTTAATAAACGGTTATATACGTTTCCAAACAAACCATTAAACGATTTTACGGTACCAAAAACTGTGCCTGTAAATTCAATCTAAATTGAACTTTATTCGGTTTCGTTAGAGTGTATTTATAAATAAATATAGGCTGATAGCAACAGGGCAATGTTTATGAAGGTTTAATTGGTATTGAGGGTATAAAGTACCTACTTTCTTTAGTAGGGCTAGTGATAGTTAATAGTTTCGAAATAGTGGTCAAACGTCGGCCCATCAAATATAATATAAAAAAAAGCTTTAATTAAAAAATGTTAAGGTGTGAAATGCTTTCATACCGTATAAAAAAACGAGGCTGTGTAGCTAATTAGTCAGGTAGTATATTTACAAGGGGTGAAATCTTTACTGACTGAGTGGTCACAAGTGTGACTGCCGGGCAAGGGGTCTCGGGTTCGATTCTCGGGTCGGGTAAAGTATTACCGGTTTTTTTTAAATCTCATTAGTAGCATGGAGTCTAAAAATGTGCCCGGTATATGGCAATAGGCTCAATCCCTATTACCTACATAGGACTCATAACATAAATTGTGAAAAGTGGGTGTTACATTGTACAGTGACATTAAGTGCCGTAATGTGCACCTTTGCGTGATGTTATCTTTAAAGGTTTCTATAAAAAGTTATATTAGAAAACAATCCACAAACTCCTAATCCCGAAAAGTAACGCCTCTGGTGTTCCAGGTGTTCATGGGACGACGATTCGACGACGCCGATTGCTTACCAGGTGATCCGTCTGTTCGTTTCCCGTTTTATCCTATAAAAATAACTTGACAGTAGTCAAATGCCTTCATTGTACTAACCGTGCAATCAATCATTTTACATTATCTATGTGAATCAGAATAGATACTATACAGACGGTTAATATTAAAAGTAATAGGTGGCGTTTGCATAATATAACTCCTATATGACGGACAGAATTTCATAGAAAACAATTTAAATAAAAAACTATTTAAAAAACTGTACAAAAACTAATGAGATAATAAAATAGCATATTACTCGTATATCCCGACCTACATGTATTATTCTTCGTCTTTTATTAGACTCTTTCTCCTGTAGGCATCCCCGAAATAATTCGGGAACGTCTTTCGTAACAGTCAATGTCGTATCGGACGTCCTATCGATTACACTCTTAACGTGCTGTAGATGATATTAAAGACAAGATTAAATTGCATTTTACATTGACATATAAATAGACTGCTCTAAGAATAGAAGAGAGCAAACATATTTTATTGTTACATATTAAACTAAATATTTACATATTAAGTTTCTTGTGTGGGAGAGCCATGCTTCGGCACGAATGGGCCGGCTCGACCGGAGTGATACCACGGCCTCACAGAAAACCGACATGAAGCAACGCTTGCGTTGTGTTTCGTCATGTGAGTGAGGTTACCGGAGGCCCAATTACCCTCCCTTTCCTCAATCTCCCCAAACCCTGAATCCCCAACGATCCTCTAGCTCCTAATCCTCAAAAGGCCGGTAACGCACTTTTAACGCCTCTGGTGTTCCAGGTGTCCATGAGTGACGCCCATTGCTTACCATCAGGTGATCCGTCTGCTCGTTTACCGCCTTATGCCATAAAAAAAATTATAAATAAAAAAAAATACATTCTATGCTGTCATATAGCATATTATGTATTTATTTTTTTTGCTATTGCTTTTATAGGATGTAGGTATTTTATTTAGTTTAACATGTACCTACAATCGAATTTTTTTCTATTGTTTTGAGATTCTTGCAGATATCGAGGAATATCAAATTAGTACCTATTATAATTAAGTTTACTGAATTTCGGTTTTGTTTTAAAGTGACGAAATACTCAAACCAGATACTTTCAGGAGATTGCATTGGTGATTTTATTTATTTAGTAATTTAAGCTTTACTGACTAGCATTACCAAACTACAACATTACAAACCACAAATTGTAACACGAACACGAAACTAATACCAATATATTTTTACAATTGGATGCTTTTCACAACCACTTGAGGTCAATATTAAAGCTTACGTAAGTGATTGTTTTGGACTGTGAAGCTCGAAGATGTTTGAGACTACACCTTGTCAACAGTCCAAGGCGCCCCGCAGGGATTACGTAGAAGTATGTTAAATTATAGGTCAGTATACCCTAAATTAGGGCGATATGAGAGGGCTGCAAATAGCCAGCCTGTCGGTTGTTTGTGAATACATCGCTTGTTTGGACCGACGACCAGCGGGGTGTCACTGTTATTGAGAGGCCAATCTGCTAAAATAAACCTAATAAACGACCGAACCATGTACGAATGTTACATAATACACAGTAATGAGGCAGTTTCTTCATCTACTTATGACATAAAGTGGATAACTCGAAGTAATTTCGGTTTTAGTATTATTGGAGAATAATACGGTGATACATAAAGGAACATGAGATCTGTATTATGATTAACAGGTATGTAATAATGTAAGTATTATGTTGTATTATCGTTACCTGTCATTGATCAATATGTACCAATATTATATCTCAGTATACCAAAGTAGGGAGGAAAGTGAATTTAGTATGATCTGGTCGCTGAATTCAAGATCACTGAACTTATTAGGTAGGCCTGATGAAACGGTCTGTTTCATATTTTTATAATAACTATCGTGAGACATACTTTTCTCAGTGTATTCACGTGCGTAACCCGCGATTTATAGTTAATTCGGTTTGTTGCAGTCTAAAACTAACTACTTAAAAAGAATTCACTATATTTTTCATGTTAAAATTAGGTAAACTTTTATTTTCATTCGCGTAGTGATAATTATTATGTTTTTAGTAGAGAACGTTGCTTTTATGATCCCGGATTAAATTAGAGATTAAGGGTCTATTAAAACCTTGGAACATAGTGCGCTGTACAAACTAATGTTAAGTATACTTATAATTGGGATGATGACAGGGTATGAATATTAAAAATATAATTAGTCCGTAAGTTAGGTAATGAAAAAATATTAGACACGTATTTTTTATTTCTCGTATAATAAAACAATATTTAGATAAAACGAATCAAAGTTTAGGGGTAGCGGATAAAACGTCATTTCTACGTATAAAATGTACATAGAAGTGACGTCACACGACATTTCAAATCAATATATCGGCGAAAGTATTTGTTTCTGTAAGAAAATAAAAAATACGTGTCTAATGATTTAAAATAATCTACCAGATTAGGCATCTACCCAATTAGAATATTAGAAGCTTCAGCTCTATCTTCCTTACTAATTCGAAGAACAACAAGCTTGAAGGATAATTTGAAATTTAAGCTACCAGTGGGCTAGCAACTTGATGACCTTTTGTGGACATTATGCTAATGTTACAGATCTGATGTAAAAATAGCCACAAAAGCCGTCATCCCTAAATCATATTATCTCGTCCCTTACCTACATTTATTACTCGATACGATCTGTTAATTTGCATCTCAAATGTCCCATCGTCGATGCGTACGATAAAATTCTTCGCATTATCACTTATACGTAAGTACCTATTTACATAATATACGTTATGTAGGATTGTTGATCTAGGTTTATTTGGCGATCTGACATAATATTTTATGTTTTGTGTCAAATATATTGCGAAATATTTATTCAGAATAAACTTAGATGAATTTGAAAAAATAAATTGAAAAAGTAATTAGCAAACTTACAAACACAATAAGAAAATATTTAGGAAAATGTAGTTTAGATATATGTTTTCAAATTTAGTTTAAGTGTGGGAGAGCCATGCTTCGGCACGAATGGGCCGGCTCGACCGGAGTGATACCACGGCCTCACAGAAAACCGACGTGAAGCAACGCTTGCATTGTGTTTCGTCGTGTGAGTGAGGTTACTGGAGGTCCAATTACCCTCCCCTTCCCCAATCTCCCCAATCTCCCCAATAGGAGTTTGAGGATCGTTGGGGATTCAGCCCAACGATCCTCAAACTCCTAATCCCCAAATTGCTTACCATCAAGTGATCCGTCTGCTCGTTTACGCCGGTAAGATATGTTATCGTAATATAAAAATCTTAAATAAGAAATGTAAGGTAGATTATGCAATAAAAAAAAATTCGTTGTTATTAAAAACAAACTTCATGATTTAACCTCCTTCATTGTGCGCTTGATTAT